TCTCAAACAGCCCACTCAGCCCCACCTACCTCACAGGGTGTCTGTTGTGGGGAGAGGAAGGGAAGGAGATTGTAAACCACTCTGAGACTCCAAGTGAAAGGGGGAGTATAAATCCAATCTCTTCTCTTCTTAATCAGGTCCCAGTAGTATTTTGGAAATTAGTTCCCCATAGCTGTTTTCTGACTGCAGGGAATGACAATTGGGTCAGGAGAACCCCAACCAGTCCCATTTAAAAACATCACATCTAACTGGAGCCTTAAGTGTTCGTGCACAGGCCTTTAATGTGGATTAGAGACAAGATGAAGACATGAATCCACCTACCCACTGTAGCTTCTAGACACCTAAAACATTAAAGCAGCCTTCATAATGGCATTAAATACACATCCCAGTTAGAAAGATATACTTTTGTTTACACTGTTTAAACAGGTACACCCTAAATCTCTTAACCTCGGTTTTAACTGTTCATAACCTCGGTTTTATGGATTTATAATGTTGGACTGTATCTTATTTTACACAATTTTTGTGTTTTATTGTGCTCTTCTCTGTTTGTGGTTTGTAATGGCCTATGGCTAAATACAATAAAATCTTCTCTCTCTCTCCTAAATCTCTTAACAGGGGTGGTGATTTTCCAGAGACCCGCTGTTACTGATAAATAGGGACAAGTGAGCCACATGCAATGTATCCCAAACACCAAAATTAAGGTAAGTTATTTTGTTTGCTCCCTTTTGCAAATTAGGTCTTAGTGGGCTTTGCCCTGCCAGTCTGTTCTATCCCATACACACTAAATACATAGAAGTAAGAAATTATTCTCATCTCTCCATATAGCTGAGAGGCCCCATGGTCAGTCCAACAATAGTCTCCTGAGCAGTGAAGACTTTTCTCGTGGCTGGAGCTGCAGAACAATCAATCATTAATGGTTGCTTCAACAACCACAGCCCAGTTATCCCGATGCCAGACTATAAATTGAACACCATCCAAGGATGAGGTCACCAGAGGAGAGAGTTGCCATATATGACAATGGAGGTGGAAGGGAGGCTCTTTAAACAGAAGGTGGCAGCTGTGCATTAAGTGCAGGAAAGCTGAAATCTGTTTTTCTCTCTGGGGGGGAAATGGATTCCGCATGATTGCCAGATGCACCATCTCAAGGGTTACTAACTCTGCACTGGCCTCCGCATACACCCTGTGTTTGCACACCAGCACATCTTCCATGCAGGGCTTACTCACTAGTGTGTGACACAGCACCTGTAAGAGATGCAGAACCATTCCAAGGCAATGTTCCCTCTAAACTGTGGAGTCTTGTGAGCAAAAATTCTACTTTGTGAGCTACTGGCATTAAAGTTGTGAGCAGGCAATTTGGCTACTGCATAAATTACTTTGCTCTGGAATCATCCTTCCTGAGCTAAGACAAAAATGTGTGAGCCGGAGGCTAAAAAACTGTGAGCTAGCCCACACTAACTCAGCTTAGAGGGAACACTGTCAAGGTGGCATTAAACCATATGGAATAGTGAACAGGAAAGGCTTCAGGCACACCCAGTCTCCTTTAAATCTGGAATTGTCTTTACAGCCAGTGAGGCATACTGACAACAGGGGAGGGAGAAATTCCTGCTTCGCTGTTAGAGATGGAGAACCAAGGGTGACAACAGTGACTTGCCCCATGGAGCCTGCTGTATTCATGGCTAAGTAGAACCCTGGATTCACGGCTAAGTAGAACCCTGGATTCACAGTCCAGCAGATCCCAGGACTTGACCACGATGGCAGTAGCCAGTAGAAGGAAATGTGGCAGTTCCCCACCGTTGGTCTACTAACGACCATTCAGTCCTGTCCTCAGTTTATCATCTTCCTGGGCAAAGTGAGCTAGCTAGTAAAGGGTGCGGGGAATCCCAGATGACTATCCTGCCCACGATAACATCTGCCATTGTAGGATTTGGAGCGACCCGGGGAAGTAATGGGATGCCTGTTGTCCAGAGCAAAAGGGAATCCTTAACAGAAATTCAAGCACCACCATTCAACTTTTCTATTTGGTTTACAAATCCAGCCTTTCCATTCAAAGCACCAAATCCTGAAAAAGTCTTCCCGTATCCCCAGGCTGCTGCTGGACAGCCTAATAAGGAAGCATCTGACCCAGGCAGCCAATCCAGCTCCCTGCCCCATTGCTATCCCTTCCTCTGCTGGAATGGAATTCAGCCCACTCACACACAGCAGGCCAAGGTGGGAGGATCTTCGGAGGAATCTCAAGCATCTCCCACTGCAGCAGCCTTCCGGGGCGGGTCTGTGGCTCTCAACCCAAATGGCAATAGTCATAAAGCTGCTTCTTTCCAGCCACCTTCTCACCGTAAGTGCCAATTCTGAAATTTCCCCATCTTTGTAAGGACGCTTTCCACATTCATTGTTGAAGGATTCCAGAAAGCTGTGCAGGATTCTGAAGCATGCAGGAAATGAACCAGTGGGGCACACACCAGGCTGGATTCTCACTTGAGCTGAATGTGACCTACCTCCCCCCCCCCCCTTTTGCTGTCAAATCGCCACCAACTTATGGCAACCCTGTGGGGTTTTCAAGGCAAGAGATGTTCAGAGGTGGTCTGCTACTGCCTGCCTCTGTGTAGCAACCCTGGTGATCTCCCATCCAAATACTGACCAGGGATCCCCCTGCTAGCTTCCGAGACCTGACGATATCGGGCTGGCCTTAGCTAGCCAAGTCAGAGCCCATCAATGCTCTTTTTAACTCGCCTTTCTGCCAATGTCACCCATAATCCTCTCCTTTGGCTATATGTTTTACAGAAAGCTCAGTGTGTGGGTAAAGAGTTGTCCAGGAAGCTGTCGCCATGACTGCCCTTTACCTTGATAAGTTAATAACGTTCCAAAGGGACCCCAAGATTCCCCAGAACAATTTGGGAATCCCTAGATAGAAGGGTGCCAACCTGTATCTAAAACAAAACATCCTAAACTCCCAGACCCAACAGTCTTATTCCACTAATACTCCTGCTCACACTGTAGCTCCACAGCCACAATGGCAAGCCATCCTCCCCAGTGCCAGTGGACCCAGTTTTGAGGTGCCCTGGATCCCAGGCTTTCTCTACTTGCATAGTGGTGGGGTACAATACCTCCACCAACCTATCGAATTACTATAGGTATATTTTGATGGTGCCAATGGCTTTCCTGCACAAAGCGTAATGCAACCTGACCAGGAGGCTGGATGTGTCTGCAATTCTGCATAATTACCTTAACTGAAAGGAAAAGGGTATTTACATTAAAAAAGAAACTGCCTCTTAACTTATATCTTTAAAAATGAGAGGGGGCTGTTGCACTCAGTGGTACAGCATACGCTTCCCATTCAGAAGTGACCAGGTTCAATCCCTGGCATCTCCAGCTAGAAGGATCAGGCAGTAGGCGATGTGAAAGGCCTCTGTCTGAACCCTGGAGAGTCACCACCAGTCTTAGTAAATACAGACCTTGAGGGACCAGTGGTTTTATTTAGTGTAAGGCAGCTTCATGTGTCCAGACCTTTGGCAATGAAGTTTCTCTTCTCATCAGCAAAGTATCACAATCAGTAAAAGACCAAACAAAACTGAAGCACAAAGGTCCTGTAAGTGCCAGCATCTACTTTTGGAGATCTCAATTAACTCTTAGGGAGAAAGTGGAAAAGTACTATGAACATCAGTGTATTTGTACTTCACAGGATACACCCTGAAGATCTGAGCACGGTGGCATATTTGAGACTCTCTGGACTGTGTGAGAAAAAATCCTAGCACAGTGATTTCCTCTTTCAGCAACAATACAGATATGAATAAAGGAACCAGGGAGGATGAATACATCCCATCCTCCCTGAAAAAGCACCTGTGACTTTTTAAAACAGCAGGCTGCCATACAAACAACCGTATCTTCTTCATGCAGAACTGTTCCTTCCCACTGTAAACATTTACTGTGTAGCTGCTCATGGAAGGCTGAGTTCTTGGCACAGCTCTGTCAAGCATGAGAACTCCTGATTCATCTTCCCTAGCATATTTTTTTGCCTTTCCCCGCAGGAGTTCAAGGTGGCATATATTGTTCACCCTGTCCCATTTTGTTGGCACAACAACCCTGTAAAGTAGGTTTGGCTGAGAGTGCAAGCAGCCCATTGTCCCCGTGAGCTGCATGGCAGAGGACACATTTGAACCTGGGCCACCCAGATCCCAGGATCCACTCTAATCACTACACCACACTAGCTCACCACTTGTGGAGCCCAAAGACTTCCATTAGTGCATAGGTGATCTGAAGAGAAAGCTCTGCAGAAGCTGTATTGTGGATGTGGCAAACCTTTGTTCTACTATGGCCTATGGGCTGTTAAACAAATAAGGGGGCGGCTGAGTGGGCAGCTTGACTGGAGACATTTATAATCTGGAGGGTTTTTTGGTATTAGGTTTGTATGTGCTTGTAAGTCTGGAAGTCACGGTGACTTCTGGCAACCCCTAGTGGGGCTTGGACGTTCCAGAGAGGCAGCTTGATATTACCTGCCTCTGTGTTCCGGCAACGGTATTCCTTGGAGGTCTCCCTCCCAAGTACTTGCCAGGGTCGGCCCTGCTTAGCTTTCAAGACCTGACAAGATCAGGCTTGCCTGGACTATCCAGGTCAGGGCAACCGGAGACATTTAGGAGAAGGAAGACTAACGGAAGGATTTCAGTGCCAGAGTCTTGCAAAGAACCTCTAAGTATTATTTAATTTGTTTGCTAGGTTCTGCCTTCTTGCTTTGCAATATGCTGGAGTGGATACCTGACCAGTAAGAAACCAGACATTGGTTTAATCAAGTTTAGCATTCGTTTCAGTGTAAGAAAGAATTTGGAATTCATTGCTCCCCTTCTTCCCCAACAATTAACAACTGTGAGAGATTAAAGAAACTGCAAAATTTCTGACATATTAACAGCTAGTATTACTAGTACTGGGAATTGCTGCATAGAGGAGACCATAAGTTACTGGAGGAAAATCTTCCATAAATTGACTTGGAGGACAGTGAGCCGGTGACAACAGCAAGAGGCATCTGCTTTATCGAAGGTCCAGCACTGTCACTTCCCGCTCCATGACAGTCACGTGGTTGCAGGTCTGAAAGGGAGAGAAAGAAAGATATGATTGTAAGCAATGGCAAGTGACATTTTCCAGTACATATAACACTACATAAAAACTAAAGAAAAAACAATCAGAATAGCAATACTTAGCATTCAGATGGTACAAAAGGGTCTGTGAGATTTGCGGGGCAGGGGGATCCCATATTCCCCCCATCACTGAGCCTGGTGAGGCTCCAGCCCCCACCATCTGCCACGGAATCCTGCTGCTGGCATCTGCAGCTGCGCCTGGGCTTGCAGTGGCTGCCAGCTTTCACTGCCCCTGCACCCAGCCCTGCAGCAGCCACCAGCCTCCATCTCCGCTGCGCCCGAGCCTGCAGGGGTTGCTAGTCTCCGCACCAAGGAGACTGGCCTCCGCCGCATCCAGAGCAGTGGCCACTAGCTTCCACTGCTGCCAGGCTCGAAGCAGTGGCTGTAAGCTTTCACTGCTGCCACCGTGCCCTGGAGCAGTGGCCACTGGCCTCCACCACCACTGCACCTGGAGCAGTAGCCGCCAACTTCCTCTGCTGTGGTGTCTTTGCTGTGCCCAAGCCCACAGTGGCTGCCAGCTTTCACTGCCGCTGGGCAGTGTTCAGTGCTGGCCTGTAGTGGCTGCTGGTGTCTGTTCACTTCGCTGGAGTGGCTCCCTGCTTTCTCTGCGTGTGCACAGAGAATACAATTGTATTGGCGGTGGGGATTTAAATCTCTCTATATTTTTTTATTTAAGATTTTTCTGCCCTTTAGCATCTGCCCCAATTCGTAGATTTAGATATCCGCAGATGGAAGCCACACGTCACTAACAGTATATAGATTCTTCAGGCATTCAGAGCACATCACATAACACATCTCAATCCTTCCAACATGCCTATAAGTTAGGCAAGTGTCACTGCATCCATATTGCAGGGACAGGAGACTGGTTAACATCAGGTACATAGTGAATTGGCTGCGGAACAGGGATTTGAACTGGGGAATTCTGGCTCATGCTAGAACACAGCCGCTACACTAGCTATAGTGCTCACCAAAGAATCCCTAAGAAAGATGAGGATTTATCACTGCCACTTTGTTAAGATGAGCTAGGAGCAGCAAATCCTGTGGCATCATGTGCATCTGTAAACATTCCTCCCATGGCAGGGTTCCAGTGGTCAGCTGAAACTCTGCAGGACAATCCTGTTTCAAGTCTGCTTCCCCAATTCCCTGAATAAGAATGTGACCAGCTCAAGGAGCGCCAGCAGCAGCTGATCTTCCAAGCTTTGTTTGTTTTTTTCTACATGTACTTGCATCACTACTTATCTCCCTTGAAGTTGAAACGCCAGTTGTGAAAGAGATTTCTAGATATAGTTCCTAACATTTCACAAGAAGAAAGAGGGGGGAAAATCCTAAGTAGTGGTGACAAAGGCAGGGGGTACTCAGTGGAAAGCAGAACAGAAAACATTACAGGTTCCTTCTTTGGCCCTTCCATTGTACAATTAGGATGCCATTCCAGAACGAGGCAGACTCAAGAAAATCAGCAAGAACAGGCAACAACAATCAGTGGCGCTCAAGATCTCGTCTCGTGGTACTTACAGTAAAGAGAGGGGGATCTTTGCTGTGGGGATGGAATCCTTTTTGTCTACAAGAAGCGATCTCTTCCATGCCATGGTCTGTCAATTTAAAGAATCCTGTCCTAGAAAAATATATTAAAAAACAGTTCAACTCTCTTCAAACCCCAGGTGGCTTCAGTTGGTCCAATTCTGCGGTACTTTGCTACAGAGCCCCAAGTAGTTTAAATGGTCAGCCAATATGACATCTAGCAACAGCTTGTACAATGTTTTATAAACAGAAGCATCCAGTTTTATAAACATAAGCTGGTCCGGTAAAAATTCTACATAGTCTACAAATATATTGAAACTTTGGTTCTCTTGCAGGAAGTGTCCAGTCTGTCCTAAATGGCAGAAGGATACTGCTAACATTGACTCACGACAATGAATGTGCAGGGGAATGACACCTGATGGTGGCACTGATTCTGGGTCCTGTGACAGTGATGTCTGCATGGATGTGTGGACAGAGCTGATATTGCAGTTTATGGCAGGGTCTAGTTCCACTGAGTGTTTCATTGCTGCTGGTAATTGCTTCAGTTTGGGGAGCTGTCAGTACTCCAGGACTGCCATCCTCCCCACAAAGTCTAAGAGAAGGAAAAATTATCTTTCAAGAGATGTTATAGATTCCTAATTATTTGCTGGAGAGATTTTAGCTGGGTGTCGTAAGGGACAATCAGTAGTGGTCTGTCTTTTTGTGTGTGTGGGACCCACAGAACAGGACTCCTCAATACCTGTCTAGCCTTGTCAACTTGTCTCTTCTCCAGGAGGGTACTGTAGCTTTTGAAATGCTTAGTATAAATCCTACTGCAGTATGTCTCTGCCTGAAGGACTGATTAGTGCCATTCACTTCTGGGATCTTGCTTCAGGTTGCGCAGCAGAGATGGAAGTAACACACTTACGTCCTCGGAGACAGAGGTATCTAGCCTCTCGTTACAATACTGTACCCCTCCCCACAGAATGCATCTGATTCAGTAGACTCTGGCTCATGAAAGCTTATATGCCAGTACATTAGCTAGGCTTTGATGCCACAAATTATCATTTCAGGTACCTTGGGTATACGTCTTCATCTCAGATTTTTTTCCTCCCCTCATTTCTATATTTCTTCTGTTTCTCATGTGCTCACTAGTGGAATATCGGCAGAACAAACTCAACATACATATGTTTTGACTGAGCAGTGCAAAAACCCAGAAACGTACTCTTGGTATTTTGGAGAACAAACAATAGCTATGGACTCTGGCAGCATCATTTGATAGGAGCAGTGTGTATGCAGATCCACACTGGACAGGAAAGCTGTCTGGGTGGGATGAGTCTGAATAAGGAGAGAACAGAGTTAAACTAGGCACCAAGAAAGGCATATACAGATTTTCAGAGTCACTATTTATTTGGTGTAGTGATTAATCTGGGAGAACCGGGTTTGATTCCCCACTCCTCCACTTGCAGCTGCTGGAGGACCTTGGGCAAGCCATAGTTCTGTCAGAGCTGTTCTCTCAAGGACAGTTCTGAAAAGAGCTCTCTCAGCCCCGCCTACCTCACAGGGTACCTGTTGTGGGGAGGGGAAGGGAAAGGAGTTTGTAAGCTGTTCTGAGACTCCGAGTGAAGGGTGGGGTATAAATTCAATCTCTTATTATTATTATTATTTTAAAAATGTATATCCTAAGGTCCTCCACCAGTGCAGGCCAAGATATTGTATGTAATGTAATAAAAAGGTACCACGCTGAAAACCTCATGCAGAACAGGCCAACTCTCCAGTTCCTGAATAGCTGCACCAGCCATGGTGACTGAAGGGAGCCTCCATATACAAAGGCAGTAAACCTCTGAATACCAGAGCTGCAAGTCAGTAGCAGAGGAGGGCCTTGGCCTCTATGTCCTGTTTGCTTGGCCCTTATCATAGAATCATAGAATGTTAGAGTTGGAAGGGACCTTGCAGATCATCTAGTCCAACCCCTTGCACTCTTCAGGGCAACAGATTGGCTACTGTGTGAAACAAGATGCTGGACTAGATAGACTGCTGGTCTGATCCAGCAAGGCTGTGCAGTATGGCCCAGGACCTCAAGTGTTATCTAGACTGAGGTTTATTTTACTGTCCCTCATCCACTCCATTACCCCTGCCAGGAGCCATTTCAGAAAAAAAGAAAAGCAGAGCTGGTTGTCATTTGCATACTGACGACTCTTTACTCCAAATTCCCAGAAGACCTTAAAAAAGAACAGATGCCTGATATTTGGGTGCCTGAGAAAAGTTTAAATGACAACACCCACACTCAACATAATCCATGGGGGAAGCTGTCCTGCATACGTGCCATGGAAGTAGCAGAACTCCCACTGATTGTGCCCTGTGCCCAGTCCAATAGTGTGAGGATGGGTGTCATCAACATCAGAAGTGTCCTGAAACATTCTGAATCTTTAGACAGAAGCTCCACACAACAGCCTTACATGCTACTGTGGGTGCAGTTCATCAGGAAGGTATCCTGCACAAGCCTCACAGAGATCAAGAAATGCAACACAAGAAGAGTGCACAAGATTTCATACATAAAAGAGCCTTGGGACCTTCTGGGAACCTCTGAGTTAATCTCCGGCCCCACAGCTGGCAGCAGAGCACTTTGTAAAATCTGTGCCTTGAACAGAATTTTTTTCTTCACCCAAAGGGCCTTGTGAATAAAGACTTACATGGATCCATCCCAGGGTGATAAGGCCATACTGATCCTGAATGAGGAAGAGTTCTTCTTCGTTCTCAGTGTTACAATAGTCAGGGCCCCCATACTGCTTGGGGATAATGACGTGGGTTATTGTGAATTCATTCCTCATCTGGGAGAGAAGAACAAATGGCACAGAATAAGGCATCGCCATTTCTTATACAGGAAGACAAGCCACTCTTTGGTACAAACACCAAGCAACCTGGATGACCTTGAACCCTCTCCCTCACTAATTGCTCTTCAAACAACACTCACTGATTCTTAACCAAGTTTCCAGCTTCTAATACACTATACACTAGGAAACATTTTTTTGGCTGGTTAGTGAAATTCAGCCTTTCCTGTTCACCAGATCCCAACTCTGGCCAATCATTCCCCAGTTTCCAGAAGACTCTTTTACCTATCCTGCCAGCATGACAAGACCCTGCCTACCCACCATCCAGCCTGTATGAAAATTTTCCCCATCCTCAGTTTCTTTTAACTTCCTGCCTCCTCCACTTGTCCGTTTCTTCAGGATGCTGCTTCTTCCATCCATCGCTTCTGTATGTCACTCATCCACTTCCTCCAGGCTCCTCTTATCCATTTGCCCTTCTTCCCACTCAGTTGTTCAGCTCTGCTGCCTGCACTCCAGCTGACAGTATGGAGCTCCCAGGGTACTACTGTGAAGCTTTCCCCAGAAAAACTGGGGAAAGCGTCACAACTTTGCTTAAAGTTGTATTTTTGCTAATACTGTTTTTCTGACAGTTTCGACCCAAATGGCACTATTCTAAAAAATGCAGCTTTGAGAAGAAAGAAAATTGTACCTGCAAACAACTTGGAAGTATGGAGTCACTCCCTAAGCAATAAGCAGAAAGCAGAACAGAAAAGACTGGAGGCATTTCCAAGTGGTTAGATTGCCAGTGCAGAAGAGTCGAAGCCAAAAGGCTATCATACATTGGCATGCAATTATCCAGGAAGATACCTTACCAGCTTCCCACAAAGGATCCCACAGGTCTCCACACCCCTTGCGGTGTTTGCATCAGCCAGCTGGAGAAACTTGTGGCAGAGCTCCCTAGGAACAATAATGTGGCGAAGTCCTTCTATAGTTGCGTCTGCAGAAATAGGAGGTTTTGATGAGCAATGTCACATGTACACATCAGGTTTATTTCTCAAACAAAAGATGAGGTAGTAACCATGAGTTTATACAGTGCATACCACTTCTAACCTGTGGAGGCTCTTAGGACTAAAACTTACCAACCCCCTACCCACTATATTCATATAGAGAGCTAACAGTTTCTTCTCTCTGATCTGATAGTTTACTACATGGAAATTTTTTTATATGGAGAATTATTCATTCAAGTGCCCCCCCCCCCCAATCTGAAATGGTACAGTCTAGACACGGGTTAATTCTAAGAACGAGAACTCAGAAAAGGTTGCTTTCAGATATATACTTAAAGGACAAACAGTTTTAGGTACTGGAAGCAAAAAAAATTACAAACACTCCCAGTACAAAAGAAGTATGGAAAACAACTATTAAAAACCCACTATGGTTGTATAAAGAGCTTATTGAGGAGTTCAGACTAAAGAAAGATGCAAGAAATGGAAGGAAGGACAAGTTACCAAGGGTGAGTACAAAAAAGTAGCTCAAGCTTGCAGGGACTGTTTCAGGAAGACTAACATGCAGAATGAGTCGGAGTTAACAAGGAATTTTAGAATAAATTGATTCTTTTAAAGTGATCTAAAGAGGAAGAAGGGGAAGACAGAAACACTAACTCCACCCATTGGTGAAGACTTAACAGTTAACAGGTGGAGCTGCTTAATTTCTATTTTGGCTTTTGTCTTCTTTTATAATGGTAATATTGCTCAATTGGACAAAAGTCATAAAACGTGTGTGGAAAAGATTTGTCAACAGACAAAGAGACAGTCAGAGAATGTCTAGCTATCTTAAGTAAGCCTCCAGAATCAGATGAATTACATTCTAGAGTATTAAAGGAACTTGCTGACGTTCTTTCAGAACCTTTGTCTGTGACCTCTGAGAATACTTGGAGAATGGGGGAACTGCCAGCAGTGTGGATTTGTCAAGAATAAGTAATGTTGTGCTAATCGTACTTCTTTTGATCAAGTTCTTTGTTTAAAGACCAACAAGACACTGTGGATGTAATATACCTCATATTTAGGAAAGCATTTGATAAAGTTCTTTGTGGTAGTTTGACTGGCAAGCTGAGAGAACATGGGGTAGAGGCACTATTAGGTGGACTGGCAGTTGGTTAAAGAACTGTATTCTAAGACTGTTGATGAACCATTCTTCATCAAATTGAAAAGTAGTTTTGCACGGTGTACCACAAGGTTCTGTCCTATCAATCAGCTGGATGAAGGTGTCAAGGGAAATCTTATCTAGTTTACAAATCAACAGAACTGAGAGGAATAGTCAATATCTTCTCAAACCCACTCCTAAACTTACTCTACTTTTTAGGACACAGCTGCAAAGTACCTCTGTGCCACTATCCCAAACATAAAAACCAAGATTAAATTTTTTTTTTTAGCACAAAACAAGTTTGTTATTTTCATTTCTACTCTTGAGAAACATAAGCTACTTTCAGCCCCCATCAGGGAGAAAGGCAGGCTATAAACGTAAATAAACAGCAATACTGAGCAATAGACTACTTCTTGGCTACTTTGTATGTGTAAGCAACCTATATTTGCTATTGAGTCTTCATAAGCCTCCTTTCCCAGCTCACCCCATTTCCACCTTCTTCCTCCTAGCTTTGTGACCCTCCTGCAAGAGTTTGAGAACCATTGCCTTGTAAGATGAAGATACGGTTCAACAAGACCTTGACTGGAAAACGACTGCAACTAATGAAATGAAGTCTGATAAAGATAAACAAGGTTCTGTAGCTAGGTAGGGATAAAAACAGTCTAAGTACAGGATGGGAGGTGCCTGGCTGGATAGCAGTACAAGTGAAAAATATTTGTGGACTGTAGTGAATTGCAGACTGAATGTGAACAGCTGTGATACGGGCAAATGCAATTTGAGAAAGCTAAGTATACTAGTAATAGGATGGAATAGTTCCTGTCTATTCTGCACTAGATAGACTGTAGATGGAGCACTGTGTTCAGCTCTGGGTGCCAGACTTTTAAAAAGATGTTGGAAAAATCAAACAGATTAAGAGAGGGCAATAAGGAGGAGAATGATGGGTCAGGAAATGAAGTCCTATGCAGTGTTCCCTCTAAGCTGAGGGGGCATGTTTCCATAAATGCTTTCAAACTTTAATTAACAGTTCTGGTAAGACTGTTTCAACATTTGACAGGAAGAAAAAAAAAGTAGATCAAGGTAATTCCAAAATATACTAACGGCTTTCTGGGGTCCCTAAAGCTCCAGGTTTCAAAGATCTGTCCACAACGGGGGGCTTTGGCACCACAGCTCCTCCACCGGGGCTTGAAGGCTGTATAGGATGGCAAGGAGTTTTTGCATCAGTTGGGGGCGTGACCACTCCAGGAACCAAGGGGCCCTCCAAGGAGTCTGGGACCGGCTCTTGTTTTCCGAACTGCTGCAGGATTTTCAGGCGCTCCTTCTCCAGCTCTTGGCGCCGGATCATCTCCTCGAAGGCATGAAACTGCTCTTGTTCTGCCTGTTGCTGCTTCATCAGGGCTACCCTCTGCCTCTCCTCCTCCAGCTGCTGCTGCAGAGCCAAGCTACGTGCAAACTCCTCCTCCTGCTTCTTCTGAAACCGGAACATTTGGAAAGTAACGGGGTGACAAACTGCAAAACCTAGATTTAAGTCTCTGGGGAGGGGATGTGGTTCAGCATATGGCTTCGCATGCAGAGCATCCACATGGTAATTCTCCTGCACATTTTTCTTGCCCCAGCCTCCCATGCCACCAGTGGGATTTGTTATGATTTCTAGCAAAGAAGGCTGAAAAAGCCCTGCACTGGAGGGCGGAGAATGACAGTGGGAGAGGGGCTGGAGGCAAGACACGTGGTGCTAATGTGAGGAGAATCTGCAAAAATTCACATATTTCTATGCACACAGTATGCAAAGGCACTTTTGACTGCAGTCTTTCCTTAAAAACTGTACCAAACCATGTATGGGAAAGATCAGAGCAAAAATGGCAGAAAACACAGGATGTGGATGATCAGGGGTGATGTGCTGTGGATATCCTCCCCAAAACTTGGTCCACTTTAGACACAAAACCAGAGCAAAACTTCTTTTGGAAGCAGCCCAGTCAGTACTTTCAGCCTGTGACTACAATAAAGATAAGACATTCAGCAGTGAGCACGGCTGTGCCTGATCTCATCGCACTCAGTGAGGATAATAGCAGCAGCTCCCAAGGGAATTCAAGCCTTGCCTAGCCCCAGGCTATCATATCGCATTAATCACGGCTGCCCACCTATTTAATCAGTGCACTTTGCTTCAAAAGGATCTAGTTCTGTTAGTGCTCTGCCAGGAAAAGAGTTGTACACTAATTAACATTACTCAGTACAAGGGTCTTGAGACCGATCTAATTTGAATTGTTTGAATTGCCCGGCAACCCCCCAGACCAAGGATTTCATTTTTTCCCACCTGGGGATTTTCAAGCTCTTTCCTTCCTTGGAAATACTCCCAAGGACCCAGTATCGCCCTATTCATTATTTTTTTTGGCCAATCAGGGAGCAGACATGTGTAGTCTACCTTGCCCCTTCCCCTTTTTCCAAGCCTGGAAGGAAAAAAATCTTTTTTTCTACTCAAGCCTCTTGTGAGTAGGGTCAGAATCTGGCTCCAAATCAAGTTTTTGCCTGCCCAGAACTACCTCCTGAGCCGCAGAGCACTCAGACTGACACATTTGATACATCTTCATTGTTCCCTCCCCCCTGCTTTTTGAGTACTTTTTGGATTACTGGCTAATTGGACATTCAGACGGTGGAGTAATGAACTGCACCTGTGCTGGACCTGAACAGGTAAGACAGGGTCACCCTTTTACATCTTGAGTGCACAGTGCATGTGGCTTCTTGCAATCTGTGGCTCTTAAGAAGAGAAGAAGAGATTGGATTTATACCCCGCCTTTCACTCGGAGTCTCAGAGCGGCTTACAAATTCCTTTCCCTTCCCCTCCCCACAACAGACACCCTGTGAGGTGGGTGGGGCTGAGAGAACTCTGACACAAAGTGCTCTTGCGGGAACAGCTGTGCCAGAGCTTGTGACTGACCCAAGGTCACATTAGCAGGTGCAAGTGAAGGAGTGGGGAATCAAACCTGGTTCTCCCAGATTAGAGTCCGCACACTTAACCACTACACCAAACTGGTGGGCTTACCAGCATGGGCCAATGTATTAAATTACTGATATTATTCTGACTGCTGCCCCAGGTCAGCCCCTTGTATGATTTCTCTCAATAAATCTGCACAAGCTTTTAGATAGACTTCACTAGTTTGTCAGCAGGTTCCATTTGTGCGGGTCACTGCAGATTAGGGGTGTTTCTTTTAGTAACTAGCAGATCCTTTTGCATAGGAATAAGGCAGCTGAAGGAAGATTTGTTCTTTAAGCACATTACTTCGGTTTGAATATGGGCACTGCTAGAAAGTGGGTCACATTCACACTGACACCTGTCTAGAGTACAAGGGTATCCCTGACCAGACCAGTAACGTGGATAACTCCACACTTACACTTAGGGGTAGCGAGGTCTGAAGGCCTTTGCTGTGAAAGCAGGCTCACTGATAAGGACATTCATATCCTAAGCCAGGGTTCTTTTCTGCCAACAACTAACGTCCTTCAGATGCATACCTCAAATACAGAGCTTAAGCATCTGATGTCCCATTACTGACCTTCCGCACATTGTATTCTGCATATTCTTTGTTATATTTTTCTATAAGCTCCTTCTTCAGCTCCTCGGCTCTAGGAAATGCAATTTCTTTCAGTTTCTGTGTGGAGAAAAGACAAGAAAGAGGGCACTAGACCAGCAGATTCAGATTCAGAACAGAACATGGGGCCAACAGCAGTATGCCTTCAGAAGTCAAGTGACTGAGGAGAAGGATATGCATTCTTAAAATATAAAAATTAACAAAATCAGCACAGCTCCTAAAAGCACTGTCAGAGACACCATTAAGAGCAACAGACACAACATGGGCCACAATCCACCCAGGTGTTCACTTACACAAACCCTGGTACAATGAGCAGAAGTTGTACAGAGAAGGCCCAGCCTTCCTAGCACAGTAGGGTGTGAGTCAGTTTGAGATGGTTCTGAGTTAGAGTCTCCAGGGAAATGACTTCATGCCTCCTTTTTAGGTGGTTTTGCATGCAGCAAATTTCATATACTGGGAAAGACCCTAAACCACAAAGATCTGCTACAAACAGAATAGACCATACAGGACTTGACAGACCAATGCTTTGGTGAGATATAAGGCAAATTTATATATTCATTTCTCAGACACAGGAGATGAGCTGCTTATTCTCCATCATCTACAGTCATTACAAGATCTGAGAAGAAAAGTTGCAATAGTAGAATTAAGGGGGAGGGAAGGGAACCACAGATGGCAGAACTCCCCGCCCCAAAAGTTGCTACCTACTTTCACTGTGTCTTTTTTCTCTGGAATTACAGCAGTTTTGTAATCACGATGTCTTGGAAGTTTCTCTATGAAAAGCCTGGGAAGAGAGAACAAGAGACAGAGACAGAGAGATGGCAGCAGAAAAGAAACAATTATGTTCAGGATTTGCACACAGTTCCCAAAAATTTCAGTTTATATGTTCTGAATGAAGATTTGTAGGTTCTGAATGAAGAGGATATAACTCTGCTCTTTCTTATAATCCAAGCATTTCCCCCCTACACACACCAACAGGAATGTGGACATTGAAAAGGCCCATTTCAGGAAAGTGCATCACAAACCACAGCAACATTTTAACATCCATTTCTGCTTTACAAAGTAGAAAGAATTCGTTCCTAGAATCACAAGAATTTATAAAATTATATCTATGTCGAAAATCCAATCCCATCTTCCACCAAGCATCTGTATCTCACTAAACCAGTTCGATGATATCCCTCTGCCAGGATAAATTCACCACCAAGTGTCATAGAATGGGTGCTGGTTTTATCCACGACCTGCAAGTTTATACATAATGTTTCTTTACGAAGCATGCACTCAGAATATTGGAATTATATGCGAAAACACAGTGCACAAATCAGACCTCAGAGTAACATTAAAGGATATATATAAACTGTTCACCTCCTGCAAACAATAACTGTGCAAACAGTGAAATTCTATGCAATGTACTGCAGTCTTTTTTTTTTTTTGCTAACAATTTGAAGCGGACTTACGGCAGCCCCATAGAGACATTCAAAAGTGGTTTGCCATCGCCTCCTCTGCACAGAGATCCTGGACTTTCTTGGTTGTCTCCCATCCAAATACGAACCAGGGCTGACCTTGCTTAGCTTCCGAGACCAAACTAGCTGCACTGCAGCCTCAGACCATTTATTCTAGTAGGCTTAAAATGGAGTAACTTTGCACAGGCTGCAATTTAAGACACCCTTTTAGTCAACCAACCTTACATTTTTGGGCTCAGAAAATGGTCTGGGAACAACAGAAGCTGCTGCATTGCTGAAGGGGATCTATAAACTAGGCGGGTGATCTCTCGAAGCCAATATAAAAGTGAAACATATACAACAATTTACTGGGTTTTTTAAAAATTACCTTACTTTCATTCTGATGGAGTTTTAAGCAAAACTTCCATTAAACATTATTAGCGACCTAGAGATTCTAGCAAATTTTTGATAATTAATGGTGGTGGGGAAATGCCTTACCATTGTACTTCAATATACATTTTACTTTATTGCTACCTCATGTGCATTCTGGAAAGATAAAAGGACCAGTATGCTGATATGAGAAAGGGAACTTTCAGAAAGCAAATTCACTTCCCAGCACCACCAGCAATGAACTCAGTTCACCCCAGCAAATTCAGTTGATACTGTTAGGGATGCCAACTTTACTAATAAAGCCTCAGCATCTCAGAGGGTTGGTTTGGCTGTAGGAGAACACTGAATAAATTGTCCAACCCAGATTTAGGATAAATTACAAATCCCTCATTGTCAGGGCACACATAAGGCCCAGAAGAACAAAAACATCTTCTGTACAGTACGCCACCTAGAGATTTCACCCCTCCACTGCTTGCATGTATTACCATGATAGCAGAACTATAGCTAGGACATTTGTTTAGTTAAAGAAAGCTTAAACAACTGCCAACAGGGAACAGTGCTGGAAGGATTCCACCAAGTTTTATACTTACCAGGTCGCTTTGGCCTGTTTTTCCTCCCAGTAATGCCCATAAAAGATGAGGAAGCACTAGGGGTTAAGGGAGGCTGAATGCAATGCTAATCAGGAAAAAATGCAGTGAACTTAACAGGGTAAAGGCAAGAAAATGGAGTATCCTGGGTAGAATCGACAATTTGGACTGAAAGGAGAGAATGGGAGAAATAGGCTTTCTTTTTCTATCAAGTAATCAACGGCCCCGGTCACACAGGCTGGATATCGCGGGGGGGAGGCGTGGCTGTTTGCCCTGGAGTGAATTACCGTGCGGCCGCGGGATCACACGTCCCGCCAACGTGGGGTGGTTGGGGGTGGGGAGCCCGGGGAGGTGCCGATCAGACGGCGCGGCAAAGAAGCGGCGCTGCCGTGGCAAATGGGGTTGTTGTTTTTAAAAAAACCCAAGTATGCGCTTGCGCCATTGGGTGCTTGTGCGCATCTTGTGGAGACTTTTTTTTAAAAAAACCCTTCTTTGCGACGGGACATGGGCGGGCGCCAGATGCCATGGGATTCCACCGAAAACGTGATCAGGCGCCTGCCCTTACCCCGCGGTTTCCGGAAACTAGTACCTCCGAGGTACTAGTTTTTTACCCCGCATCTTCGGCGGGAAGCCTCGGGTTCGCCACGGGAGCTCTACGCTTCCCAGATGTGGCGGTGTGATCGCGCCCGGAAAATCCGCCTATCTTCCGTCTCTGTAGCGTGGCTAATGCTCCGTGTGACCGGGGCCAACATTAATTAACCAGTTCTTCAAAGCAAACCAAGAATGGGCTTCTCAGTATGCAGGCTAACCTAATCTTGTCAGATTTCAGAAGCTAAGCTATATATATATACAGGGCTCATTAGCATAATAGGCCACACCCAACAGCAGGAACTCATTAGCACATTGGGCCACACCACCATGTTACCAGAAGTGTGGTTATCCAGCCACACCCACCTTTTGCTTGTTATTCTGTTTACCATGTTTGTTGTCAAAACCCAGGGCTTTTTGTAGCAGGTACTCCTTTGCATGTTACGCCACACACCCCTAATGTAGCCAATCCTAATGAGTTTCTGCTTTTGAGTGTGGCCTATTATGCTAATAAGTTCCTGCTGGGCGTGGCCAACTTGGGAGCTAGCCGGAACTCCGTTCCTGTGCGTTCCTGCCCAAAAATAGCCGTGTGTGTGTGTGTGTCTGTCCAAAACTTGATTCTTATACCAATTTTTCTATACCAATTTTTCTGTGAGGTGTTAGGCTGAGAGGAAATGACTGGTCCAGCATCACCAAGTTTGATGGGTAAGCAGGGTTTTGAATCTGGGTCACCTGGTAGTTTAACACTCTAACCACTGCAGTTCTCTGAAAATGCTATTATGCAAGTGCACAAGTACTAAGCTCATAAAAATCAGCAAAATGCGGTTGTTTTGCCTTTATTTATTATTATTATTTATTTGATTTATTAATCACCCTATCCCAGCTTATACCGAGCTCTGGGCGATGTACAATTCAATATATAATTTGAAAAAAACTAAGAAACCAGAATAAAAGATCCAAGATGGTGTCCTGTAAAGTTTCTAACCCAGTTCTGGACTACCTGGCCATTTTCTGGGCAAAGGGAGAGGCAACTCAGGACAAAAATGCAGAAGGGTGGGGGAGGGTGCCAGCCATGGAAAAACCATTTCTGCCGTCAACCAAAAGCCTGGTGGAACATCTCTGCCTTACAGGGTCTGTGGAATTGCATAAGATCCCGCAGGGCCCTGGTGTCATTTGGCCAAGAGTTCCATCAGGTCGGGGCCAGGACCAAGAACGCCCTGGCCCTGGTCGAGGAGAGCCAGACATCCCTAGGGCCAGGGATCACCAGCAGATTGTTATTAGTAGAGCGCAAAGCTCTCCCAGGGACATACCGGAAGAGATGGTCCCTCCGGTATGTGCACAGCCCTGCTGCAGCACTGAATTACATCCTCTCTAGATCAAAGAAAAACAAACGATCACCCCCAGCAAGGCTACTGCATCTCCCATTCATTATATGCAGTTCCAACATGTTGTTCTTGTTTTCAAATCAAGGCTTTTAGGGCTGTCTACTGTTGAGGGAAGCTTTGATTGCTTGCTTGAAAAACCCTTCGAGACAGCACAAGGATCCTATTTGCTTTAACCAGAAGAAGTAATAACTACCTTCCTCTTACTATTAAGAATCTGCAACTGAGATAGAAGACAAGGATCTGGGGCACTTGGGTCACACAACAAATAAGTAGTAGAGCCAGAACAGAGTACAACCCCAGGTGACCCAGCTGGTCTGTAATACAAAATAATTCATAGATTTATCAGAATAGCAGCCTCCACAATACCACCGAGCAATATAAATTTCTTACGTGATGTATTTGTTATATAATATAAAGGCATTTTCGATGTTGCCTTCCTCAGAATAGATAGTTGCCATTCGGATCATTTCAATCCCAGAACGGTAGTACCTCCTTGGTGGGACATCTTCATTCACCTCCACACAACTCCCCATCTGAATAAGACCTCTGACTCGGTCCTCAGGGGGGAGGCTGACATCAGTGTGGTCAGGCATAAGGGTCAGTCTGTAGAAGGAACAGATATGGTCTTTATTGAAGTCAAGTGTCTGTCTGAACATTTCCAGAAGACAGAGGACCTCAGAATATAAAGACTTGTAACCTCACGGACTCAAAAGTAGTGGATCTGATATTTGGATGAGTGAATAATGCTGCTTAAAACACATAACTGCGGTCAAACTGAGCCTAAAGCTCATGTATCTTCAACTTTTCCTACAAAGGGAACATTTCCCATAACCCGTCATACTTCTAGATAGCCAAGAAAACAGGAACTGGAAAACAGGAACATACACCTATTATAGGAGATCACCTTGTAAAGAAATAACAAAGAAACATCACTAAGAGAACTTCAGTACAAAAAACGTATCTATCCCTGATTCCATGTTATAAATGCCTTCTGTCATATAGCTAGGAATGACACATCTCCTATACTGCAATCATCTTGATGCAGAGTTCTACGAAACACATAACAACTGGTGCTACCTTACACGAGAATTTTAGGGGTGCATAAGAATTATAATTCATGTGTGACAATGAGTAACTTTTTCAAAGAACTTTGCATACCCAACCCAAGTGATCTGTGTATGTCAAAGGCTTTCATGGTTACACAGCCAGAGATCTCAAGTTATCCTGTGATTCAGTACATCACCCTTCTTCACGCACAGCTCTTGAGTCAGGATACAGCCAGCTCTAAAGAAGGGCAGACAACTGCAAGGGGAGGTAGCAGCACCTCCACTGCCCCAACTTTATCCAGCTCTGTCCAGAGGTAATATGCTCCACCTTCTTCAGTATAAACTAAGTGCTACTCGAGGGACCAGTGGGAAACTCCCCTCCACCCACATTGTCCCCAGACTTTGGCCTTCATGAAGTACACTATAAGCCCTTCTCTTTCAATCTTACTGGGTGCAGAACTAAGTTGAGCAAAAGCTGCGATTTCGCCTTGAAGTCACTTGTATCCAGAAGTCCCTTTAAATTCCATAAGACAGGAAACCAAAATCCGAGCCCCACCTCTGACACACAAGTCCCTGTGAGCCTTGGACAAGTCACTGTATCTCAGCCTCGATCCCGCCGAAACTAGGGCGGAAGTACAGAAAGAATCTCTTGTCAGTTGAAAGGTCGTCAAAGGCTTCGTTGACTGAGGGGGCGAGGGAAGGTGGGTGGCGGCGATTCTCCTCCTCCCTGCCCGATTGAGAGAAAAACGTGAGCTTCTCTCAGGAAACCCGCCTGTCCCACCCACAGTGCCTCAGCATCGAAATTCTCCCCTTCAGCCCTACCGAGGATTCCTCCGCGGAGACCAGAGAAGCCCTAGAGGGGCAGGAAAGGAACTGAAGCTGTTTCCAGGACCAATTGACTTCCGGCTTCTCTATACTATCTGTTCCATAGAGAATGTAATACCGACAGACTTAAAAGTGCAACAAGCGTGAACTGACGGGTCCATCGTTAGGAGGCGGGACTTCCTGGTTAGTTTGGGAATTTTTCTCTCTCGCATAGGGCGGGTGCCTAGAGGTGGCATGCCGAGCCTTGAGTATGGTGGTTGTCTGTGTGTAATAGGAGTCCCGGCAAAAAGAAAAAAAGGGGCAAAAGCATAGTTATTGTGTGCTGAATGTGGGGGTGTTTTTAGTTTTTTAAAAGTTCCCATACAACGCAAATGCAGTTCCTACTTATTTTCCCCAAATTGCCGGAGGGGTGTGTGTTGATCGGCTTACAACAGCCCTACAAATGTAGCACCTCGTTAATATGGTAGTTCGGAGGCGGGGCCCGGTGCGGGATATTTATAAATTATATTACTGAGTACATTTTTATCTCGCTTCCATCCAAAAAGTTGAGAGTGGTGAACCTTGTTCTGTGCTTCTCCATTTAATGCAGTTAACAACCCTGTGACATACATTAGGGTGAAAGTGGCTTCCAAATCATCCTAGCCCGATACTAACTAACCACTACCCCTGAGAGTTGTTGTGCAAATAAAATGGAGGAGATCATGTGCGCTGCCTTAAAAATCCTTGGAGGACAGGCGGGATAGAATTTTGGTAGACCCGGATAGCTGGAAGAGAACTTTACAACGGTCATATGTTGCCATCCAAGGTCGTGTTTTTCACAATCTCCCAAGGCGTTGCAGTGCTGCATTGGCAGAACAATCGGGCCCAAACGAGGTCGGATCGCTCTCCTGGTGGCTTTTCTTTTTAAAGGGGCAGGAGCTGATCACGCCAGCCGACCTATGGGGTTAACAACCGCACGAATCCGACAGCGCGGGGGGGGGTAGGGTTGCCAGCCTCCAGGTGGGGCCTGGGGATCTCCTGCTTTTACCACTGATCCCCAGCCGACAGAGATCAGCTCCCCTGGAGAAAATGGCTGCTTTGAAGGGTGGACTCCATTGCATTGTACTATGCTGAGGCCCCTCCCCTCCCCAAACCACGCCCTCTCCTGGCTCCACCCCCAAAGTCTCCAGGTATTTTCCAACCCAGACTTGGCAACCCTGGGGGGGGGGCGGCCTTTCGATGGCAAAACCGGGGGAAGCTGACTCCTTCCCATTCCCGAGTGCCCAAGAACCTTAAATAGCACTCTCGAATGCCCCTCTGAAAGTTGACCCTTTCTGGCGCTGGCTGTTTGGCATTCCGCCACAAACCCCCCACAGTTTGCAGCCTCGCCGAACGAATTAGAGAGCGTGTCCGTCCCCCCGTCCCCCCCCCCCGCTGCATGCAGATGCCCTTTGTATCCTTTGACTTGCCTGGTGATCGGCTACATTTTTGTCCTTTGCCTGGTCGACGGAGTCGCATTTCCGTTCCGATCGGAAGCCGGCCCGGCGTTCATTTTCCCTCCATGAATAAAACCAGGACGGGAAATTAAAACCCCTCTTCTCATGCAAAATAATCATCTCCTGAGCCTCACAGTCACCCATTGCTGAAGGCTCCTCCGCTCCTCCGAGCCTTGTAGTAACTGTTCTCCACAGAGACTGATGCTATTTTTGGTTAAGCGTGTACTAGGAACAGCATACAGTTTCAGAATGTTATCAGCAGTTCAACATGTACCTCAAACCAGCTGCACTGGGTGAAAAGCCTAGCTGTGCTCCTCTTGGAGCATTGGGTGTTCATATGCAGCCGTTCACATGGATGTGTGCCTACGTGAGAAGACATGGATATATTCTTTCCTTACTGTTGAATTTTTAAGTAGGTTTGACAAAATTCTAACAAGGCATTCCGAAGAAATACCGGTAGCAAATTACCAGGGACAAGGATGAGGGATCAGAGAGTTACAGATAGATGGGCAGACACTAAGTATCTTCCTGTTTCACTTGAACCCTTTGATGTGTGGATTGCTACTCTTAGGGAAGCTTCCTTCTGCGCCCCCCCCCCCCACACACACACAAAGAGGGAGGACAGGTTTCTCCATCTTTGGCACTATGGACGCCAGATACCCCTCTGCATCCACATCTATCATTAGCTAGATGGAATAGAATGTCTCTTTCTCTAAGCTGCACTATCCAGTTTGTACTTCCTAAATAAATCAGTTATTTTCTTTTAAGCTGATAAGTGGCTTTGTGTAACTTTGTAGTCTTACAAGCATATGCTCAACAAAGGAGCTCTGCTGCATTCTGAGACTTCAGTGCACTCTGCAAAATTTAGCAAAGGATCTGGCTTAACATACCAGCTCTCCCAATATTCCATCTTAAAAAGTATTTTTATTTATTGATTTGATTTATATATCATCCTCCCCAAACGGGATCAGGGTGGTGTACAACAATTAAATAATACAATTAAAATAACATTAAAATAACAAATGTACATAGAATAATGTCATAAAATACTGTATACCAGCAGAGAAACCAGTTGTTAAATCAACTCCGATGTCTAACCAGATCTCCAGTCAGATCCAGGCCCCTGATGGATGATTGGCCAAAAGTTGGGGGGTGGGGGGGAGATGCCCACTGCCTCAACCAAATGCCCGGTGGAAGAGCTCCATCTTGCAGGTCCTGCAGAACTGCAATAAGTCCTGCAGGGCCCTAATCTCATAGGGGAGCTTGTTCCACCAGGCAGGGGCCAGGGCCGAGAAGGCCCTAGCCCTGGTCGAGGCTAATCAGATGTCCCTGGGGCTGACGACCATCAAGAGATGTTGATCTGTGGACCTCAGTGCAGAAAACAAGATAATAAAAACAACTAAGTGCACTTGAGCTTACTATGAAGTAGAATTACCCTGTACACCAGGCTCTTTTTCTGTCCAGTCTTTTTACTATTCCTGATTATTATGTGTTTTCTAACTTACAAATTATTTAATCATGTAGCATTGCTTTCATTTTTGACAGATGGAGGCCCTGGTCGCACGGAAGGTTTTGGGCCGGGAGAGGGACGGATCGGGGGCGCAACAAACGGGCGCAATCTCACCGCAACATCTGGGAAGCGGCGCGCACCCGTCCCTGATCCGGCCCTTCAGGCCGAAAACCCGCTGTAAAAAAGAACCACCCCTAGAGGTGGACTTACTAGAAAGGCCGCGGCAAGCGCGGCCGTGGGATCGCTGGCGCGTCCTTCTGCCGGTGCATCCGAGGCTCCTGGCCGAACTGCGCATGCTCACACATGCGCAGTTCAGCAGCCTCCCTCTCTGTTTCGTGGCTTTCTCCCTGGTCTCCCCGGCATCTGATTGTGCCGGGGAGCAAGTGCACAGCAGCTCACGGGATTTGTGTGATCCCACTGCCGCGTGCCTATTTTGGTGCGGCTTTCAAAAGCCGCAATTTGTCTGCGCATTCCCCCCCCCCCCCGTGTGGCAGGGACCGGAGAGTATTTCCTGAGTGGACTGTTTCTCAAACACTGCTTTCTTAAAAAAAAAAAAGTTACTTGTAAGCCAAACAAAAATAAATTCCTATTACTCAGTTCTGGCTCAGAACTTCTTTACAATGTGACTTCAGTGCAAAATAATTTGAGTCCTACAAGGAAGGCTACCTCAGTAGTATTTCACAACTCATGGACAGCTGCATTCACAATTACCGTCAACCAGAACAGCCACAACTAGTATGTACCCTGTGTGCCACCCCAACAAAACACACACACACACATATATATATAAGATATAACTGTTCCCCCAGAACTTTTAATAACAGCTCGAGTCTGCCGCTGGAAGGACAATTAAAAAGATCAAGGAACCAACTAGGAGAAGAGTGGATTGAGTAATCACAGCCATCGGGAAATTAATGTTACTAGCACTTTATTGTGTTGTGAAGTTTAAATGATTTTATAATTCTTTTAATCTAAATCGATATTTATGTTTTATTGTAAATTGTATACTGATTTTATGTAAGTCGCCCTTGGCTGGGAGGGCAGGGTAGAAATCCAGTAAATAAACAAACCTTTTAAATTTGCTGGAGAAGACAGGCACCCCTGGCATGAAGTCCAACTTCTTAGGGAAGCTCCCCTCTCATCAATCTTCCAGTCGCAAATGTTTCTTGGTGGGAAGCACTTGCTAACCATGAGCCTCACCAGGCAGTGGCTTCACCCACCTTCCTGAAATATAGTGCAGTTGCCACATTGGGAACAGGGCTCAGAAGAGCCACAGGTGGCATGTCTAAGAGCCACTGAATGAGTATCACTCATGTAACATCCAGACGTTTCCTCTGCAAACCCTACAGGAGTAACAAAGAAATCTCCATGCCTGATTTTTGCTTTCTAAAAACTGGTTTCTTTCACATCAAGATTAGTTCCCATTCATTTTAATACTAAACATTTTCAGCCCCCCCCCCGATCCATTTGGGATTAATTACTCAAGGATTATGGCCCTCACTCCAGCTATTTCCCCCTGCCAAGTTGCAGACACATTTGAGGAAACATTACTATTTTATAGGACATTGTACCTTGCAAAACAAGTACAAGGAGACATAACACTGCATACAAGTTTGCTCCTTACATTCCAGGACACTCAAGCCTTTCTACCAATAATAGGTACACAGATGAGGGGAATTAAAAACCCCTGGCCATCATCATTGCTACACCTTGGCTGTGCTTGGTTCACTGTAGCATATTTCTGCGACTGTGCTGGGAGAAATATGCAGCATATAAGTTATGGAGTCACACATGGTCCATTTTTATTACTGACTGGGTGTTTAGTGTTGACTTTTGTCTTTGTCCTTGCATGACAAACATGCTGCTTATCAGCAGGGGGTAAATGCCACTTAAGAATCTGCCTGTATTTATGCACAGTCCTGCCTGGTTGACAACCGATAAACAAAGCCTAACAAGCACCATCTCCTGTTAATAAATTATTACTGGAAGCCCACTTGAACCACAAGGAGTATGTTTTAATAAATAAACAGGATTCCTGCTTATGCAGAATCAAGAAAGCCTTGCTTTCAGCCACTGAGACAGCTCAGCAATCTGGAAAAGTGGTAACACCATGCAACAGAAATGTCAGTTGTGATGATCCTATTCAGCAGCAACACGGACAGATACCTGATGTGGCTTATGTATTTAGTCACACAACCCATCCCACGCACTGCCCCTCCTGTTACCTACCGAACCAAAAGCAGACAAGCTGCCAGAACAATACTAAATGTTAGCAATTACTGCACTCCAAGTAGATATATAAACTGTATTAAAAACATATGACATTTGGTTGGATTTATATTCTTTATTATCTGACTGCACATTCTAAAAGTCTCACTGATCTATTTCAGTGAAGTTTGGTTAGCAAAACTTCCCACAGCCTCTGACCCATTAACTGCATCTTTGTGCCTTCCATGCTGCTGTTCTTAATAGCATCCAAAATATCTCACTTTCCTTCAAATCTGCATTCAAATCTGTGGCTTTACAACTGGCAATCCCTGGTGGTCTCTGAGCAACGATTTGCCACAGCCAGGAGGTTACCACTGGACAAGTAAATAACAGATCAGGTAAGAGTGGTTTTTCCATTAGTGTCTTCCATGCCAGCTGCATTCCCATCAATAGAAGTTATGACTGGACTGTCTGTGTGCACTATATCTTCCATGCTGGAGAGGATCATGATGGTTTTGCACTGGAAAAGAAGGTTCACATTCCTGGAAATGGGGCTGGTAAGATGAATCAAACTGCTGGCTGTTGGGTCTTCTACTGCGATTCCATCTTTGCTGGGTGGCGTGAGGTGCAGGGGGGTGCGAAGGACTGTAAACAGACTGACTGTCGTAACAGGTGTTCTGGTTCTGGGTAGTTCTTCTGAAAGAGAAGCCACAAAGCTTCAGAGTGTAGACAACTAGGTCTTGAAGGACTTGGCAGAGAAGTTCAGACCACACTGTAAGTTAAGAAGGAGCCTCGAGGCTGTTCCATAAGCTTTTTTGCACTTGAACAGAGCACTTTTCAACAACACTTCAAGGCTTTGAGGGGGGGGAAAGGCTGCTAAGGCAGTTCTAACTTTCAGAGAGAAAGGCGAGTCATAAATAAACAAAGAGTTTCACTCAGACCACTCCTGGCAGCTGCAGATATAGATCCAAGCACAGGAAGGAGCTGCACAAATCTACACTAAATGGAACAAGACTCCCAGTTACTAGAGGGGCTACTCCTCAGAGATTTGTTGTTGTTTTTCTGCTGTCAAATCATAGCAGACTTATGGTAACCCATAGGGTTCTCAAGGCAAGAGACCTTCAGAGGTGGTCTGCCAATGCCTGACTCCGCATTATGACCCGGGTATTCGTTGGTGTTCTCCCATCCAAATACTAGCCCAGGGCCACCCCTGCTTAGCTTCCAAGATCTGACAAGATTGGGCTAGTCTGGGCTATCCAGGTCAAGGCCTTCAGTGATTAGAGAAAATAAAAATATTGTTTGGCACCATATATTGTTTGGGGTACGTTTTCTGACCTGTGGCAGGGGGAATGTCATTGAACATCAGTGTCTTTACTCAGGCAAGAGGCAGAAGTTACAATCTGCAGTTCTTTGCACTGATATAACAGATACTGCGCTATCTTCCAGTCATCTCAGAAAAGTGCAAAGTGAGCTTTGCCTGGCCGAGTATATTTGGCATGCCTAGGTTCTGCTACACAACCTTGAAAACTAGTATCTGGCACAAAATTTTGCATCTTTCACTCTTAAGAATTCTGTTGTCAGCCCATCAATAGAAGTTCTGACTGGACTGTCTGTCTGCACTGTATCTTCCATGCTGGAGAGGATAGTGAGGGTTTTGCACTGGAAAAGAGGGTCCATAAGAGGGAAAATAAACGTTTCAAGATTGGCTAGTACACATCACTCAGCACCACAGGGTTCCAATCAATGCACCCTTTCTTACCTGCCTGCCACCAAGTACTTCACAAAAGCCTATTTTGGAAAGGCTTACTTCAGAAGTACAATTATGCAAATCAATCAGACATAATCAAATTTAATTTGTATGATTTCTGACTGGATGAAAATCTGGGTGATTGTTGCTACTACACACATATAACTCCAGAGTGAAGTATCCTCTTCAAGAGATACAAACCATATATACATGTAAATCTATATACTATCAGTGGCATGTGGCCCCCATCTGCAGATAGCTAATTCCACGGATCAGGGCCACACAGACACTAAACAGATTTTTCAGCAAACTGGGAGGACTCCCCAAGTTTGCAAAAAAAAATAAATAAATCAGAAATATTAAAAAAAAACTATATGGGGGGAGCAATTCCTCCAAAAGTTAAGTAGCGTTTGTTGGCTGGACAGGGAGCCATGCTGAATTCAGCAGTGGGGGCAGCTGCACAGCCTCGCTAGGCCTGGCAGTGGCGGCCACCAGCAATAGTGCAGCCCATGAGTCGTGTTGGGCTCAGTAGCAGCTGCACAGCCTGGGAGCCCTGCTGGGCCTGGCAGCAGTGGCTGTGCAGCCTGGCGAAGGCCCTACGTTTTGCTGGGCCTGGAGTGAAGGGGGGATCTCACAAGTACCATGGTCCCACACTTGCTACTTATAAGATGCCAGGAATTCTCTCACCTGTATGGGTTTTGTCTAACCCTTCCTCTTCCAGCAAGAATGTGCCTGCAACAGAAAAAGCGAAAGGCTACTAGACTGCTGGCACTCAATTGTCATAAGCATGGGCTGGAAAATGCGAATAGAACTTTGTCTCCCATAATACCAAAATTCAGGGCACCTAATGAAGCACATAAGCGAAAGATTCAGAATGGACAAAAGTAAGTATTTCTTTACTGAACCATTAATTAAATTGTGAAATTTGCTGCCAGTAGACATGCCTCGAACATGGATGGCTTTAAAAGGGGAAAAGAGATTAGCCACAACAACCAACGGCAACTTGCACATTGGGAAACAGTGTACTTCTGCATACCTGTGCTAGAAAGCAACATCAGAGGAAAGCCTGTGCCCTCTGTGCCCTGTTTGCTGGCTGCTAAACAGGATGCGGAACTAGATGGATCACTGGTCGTCTTAAATTATATTAGCCTTATGGTATCATGAGATTCCCAGAATCTCTTTCAGCATCCTACAGTCTAGAAGTAGCGTTATCCCCAGAGGAGGAGAAGAGATTGTCCCTCTTATTGAATATGGACTTGGATCATCCCTGCAGTAGAGATTTGACTAATTTGTTTCTAGTTTTGTTTCAAAAGGAAGTGGAGCTCCCCAACAGCAGGATTAAGGTTTGACCTATTTTATACTCAAAGGGACAGAAAAAAAGATGGTCAAGAGATGGATCATTAAATCCACTAATGGCAAAGCATTCGAGCACCTGACCTCATTGTTTCCTCCTGCTCTTATTATACTGAGCATCCAGAAAGAGGGGACAGGGAGGGGATGAAAGAGAAATGGGAAACCTTTGTTCTTGCAATGCACACTGTTGCAAATTTCGTGGATTGTAGTCAGCTGCTTGAAAACCAGAACTGGGTGCATATCCGCACAATTCATTATTCATCCATCTATACACAGCCGTGTAACGATTCCTTTAAAGAAAAAACATTAATGGAGTTATATAGCTTCAATAGGATGAAAGTGAACTAACTTCTATGCAACAGCCTTCAATACATTTCAGCCGGAAATGCAGAGATTACAATGTGTAGATTTCTGTAACAGTGAAAAGTTAATTACAAATTGGATAAATCTTGGAAGGCTCACTCAAGCTTCTGTGCTGGGACCTTGGCATGGCTCACATAGACTGACCTATGGGGGTCTTTCACCTAGCTGGAATGGATGAGGGCTGACAAAATGAAACTTAATCCCAACAAAACATAGGTGCTACTGGTGTGTGTGTGGGGGGGAAGGTCTGATCTGGGAAATGGCTTAGCCCAGGTTCTAGATGTGGTTGCACTTCCTTAAAGGAGCAGGTTCATAGCTTGGGGGTGTTGCTGGGCCTGAACCTCCTGCTAGATAAACAGTGGCTGCAGTGGCCAGAGGTACCTTTCAGCAGCTTTGGCTGCTGAGTTACCTGTAGTCCTTTCTGGACAGAAAAGATCTTGCCACTGTGAGGCATGCCCTGGTAATGTCTAGATAAAATTTATTTATTTGATTCATAAACCACCCTCCCCTTGAAGAGCTTAGGGGAGTGTACACCACAATGTGCTCTACAAGGGACTGCCCTTGAAGACTGTCCAGAAGCTAGTTAGTACAGAATACTGCAGCCAAAATATTGACTGAAGTGGGTCATAGGGATCATATCACTGCAGTCTTGTTCCACCTACACTGGTTTCCAATTTTCTTCTGGGCTCAATTCAAGGTGCTGGTATTGACCTTTAAAGCCCTGTACAGCCTAGCAGCAGAAAAGGAGATTGGATTTATACCCCACCCTTCACTCAAGTCTCAGAGCGGCTTCCGATCAACACCCCTGCACAATACTTATCGGATTTGACTTCTCCACAGCTGCGTAGAGCATTTATGCTGGCCCGCTTTAATGTGCTCCCCTCTGCGGTTTTAGCAGGAAGATTTAAGAAAATCCCCTACTCTGTTAGGGTTTGTGGTTGTGATTCAGAGGAGATTGAAACAATCGAACACGTATTCCTCCACTGTAGTTTGTATGATGACATTCGGGCAGTCTATCTAGAAGCCATACTTAAGAAAGATATCAAGCAATCAGATGACAGAATGTTGTACCGTTTATTGGCTTCACAAAATACAGTGGTTATTGAAGCGGTGGCTAATTTCTGTAGCTGCCTCATAATGAGGAAGCTGTGTGTTAAATCCATGAACTGACGGGTGACTGTTTATGATTCTGATCCATGCCAATAAAGGTTTTGAATTGAATTGAGATCAGGGCCCTATGTGATCTTCTTCAATTCCGCAAGGCCTGTAAGACAAAGCTGTTCCACTAGGCCTTTGGCTGAGGCAGCGGTCATCCATGTATGGCCTTCCTGAGGTCACCCATTTATTAACAGCTGGCTATTATTCACCCATTATCAGTGGGCTAGGGAATCTCTCACAACCAGCTAATTCTATCCTTGGGCTGTGATCACCATTTTAATGTATATTACTGTGTTTTAAATGTTTCTTTATATTTATTGTATTGTTGAGGTGTTGTTACCCACCCTGAGCATGCTCACAGGAAGGGCATGCTATAAATCCTAAAAAAAAATAAAAAAAAATTGCGACTCCTTTCCCTTCCCCTCCCCACCTGTGAAGTAGGTGGGGCTGAGAGAGCTCTTTCAAGAACTGCCTTTTCAAGGAAAGCTCTGACAGAACTATGGCTTGCCCAAGGTAATCCAGCAGCTGCAAGTGGAGGAGTGGGGAATCAAACCCAGTTCTCCCAGATTAGAGTCCGTGCACTCAACCACTACACCAAACCTAGAACCAACATACTTTAAGGACTGCCTTCTCCCAAATGGTCCAACTTGCTCATTCTGGCCCTGCTTCAGTTGCCCCCACTATCTGATGCTAGATGGGTGGCGATGCAAGAAAGGACCTTCTGTTGTGGTATGTTTGAAAGTTTTTATGCTCGTTGCCTTGTGGGCCCTGATTGTGTAGAAAGGTTGCATAAAATGCTTTAAATAAAAGTAATATTTACTAGGGACTCTTATAAAAGAGCTGAGGAGGAGTGCACGTGTGCCTCTAACGTTCTAGTAGAAGTTCAGTAGAAGACTCATTCTTCCTAGCTAGGAGAGAACTCCCCCCCCCCCAGGTCACAATTAACAGTGTCCCAAAAAGTGACATTTGGTTAACGTTCTTAGATCACCTACAAGGATTGATTCAGGACTAGAGGGTCCTGCAGAATGTCTGGCTCCATCTTGCTCTGTGGGGCAAATCAAAAGGGACTGTTCACATTGATATGTAAAAATTATTATCTAGAGAATCTCATCTCATGGACCACAGGGATTTGGACATGATAATAATTTGGACCTTTGTTTGTAGTACTTCTCTAATCAAATATTTTACCTAATTGACAGAAGCTAGTGGCAGACTTGATAGTGAAACCACTTCCTCCCTTTAATGCTTCTTCAGGCAGGCAAAAACAACAAATCTTAGCTAATAAGGCAGCAGTGAAAACACCATACCTGCGGGCAGCTCCTCTTCTAAGGTCATCAATATAGTTCTTCCTGTCTATAAAATGTCCTCTGTAGCTATTGAACACTAGAAGAAAAGGAAGCTTCAGAACAGTTCCAAAAAGCACTATTCCAACTATTCCAAACAACATGCTTGAAGCAGCAGAATATCTACATTTGCCAAAAACGGTACAGATTTAGTTACTGTTTTTCAGACTGTTTTTCAAACTGTGTATCCTTGGAGAACCTCTAAGCTAAGGAAACAATCAGTAATGGCTGATAATTTGCCTTCTCTCTCTTTTTTGTTTTGGCCCCCTGCAGGGGATTTTTTATTGCATCTTCTATAAACTACAAAGAAACAAGGAGGGGTAACTACAAACTACAGGTGAAAGTAAAGAGAACCACTAAAAACCCAAGAGGTGGTGGTCATACATTGCTTACAAAATTAGCTTTAAGACAATTAAGATTTGTTAACATTGAAGGTGATCAAAAAGTCTATCGCTTCTCTTATATCCATTCCAGCTAATCAGACTATTCAAAGAGACAAACAAGAGAATAATTAATTTTCGCCAGTGCAAACATAAGGAAACATCAGCATCTCATTTTAAAAAAAATGTTGTTCCCCCAATTGGTAACCGCCTCCCCTCTTAAAACCAGGACTTCTTCAAACATATATATACTATCTCATCTCCCCTTCCTTTATTGCAATCTTTATCTTCTTCTCCTAATGGTCCATATTATTACGGCAAGTCTAACTAGCCTTAAAAACAGTTTCAGTTCTTTCCTTTTAGGGCCTAATTTTCTTCTGGAGAGTCTGTCCATAATTACCGGGCAAATTTTCTTCTTTATGTAGATTGGGTATAAATCCCTTTGCTTTACTTCACTTTCAATCTGCAACCGGTCCCAAAACGTCATTTATAGCTTATTGAGGATTCTCCTGTCTTCATAACGCTTGTCTTTGGAATCATGTAGTTGATTGTCAATTGTTGGCTCTGTTCTTTAACAAGTATATTTTTGGTACCAATAGGGGTCACCATAACAGTTCACAATTTGGTAGAGTCTGTGGTATTCAGGTCACCTGACCTGACCAGCCTCTAACTTCCTGAAGGAGCCCTTAAATTCCATCTCAGTCTTTCTCTGCTTTCGATCGCCATTTTCGGGGATGTTTAGTTTTCTTTTTTTAAACTGCAAAAGTCCCAAATGTTTGTCTTTCACTTGGGCGCTTCTTGTAGGCTCTTTAATACAGTCCATATTGCTTATAGCTCCGTCCCCCCCAGAGGATGCTCTGAATTCGCTTTGTTGTATGGGGGGAGAGTTCCCCCCCCCAGCTTAGTAGGGGAGGACTGCAAGCCGTTGCTCTGATGTTTTGTTTCAACTTTATTCACTCTTCATATGTAGATCAAGTAGATCTCACCAACAGGTATGCTTATTTACCGCCGACCTCCACTCGCTAGATGGGATATGCGTAGCTTAGTCCTTGCAGGAACACAGCAGAGAAAGTCGGGGCAAAGGAACACCTCCAACCACCAGCAGCGCGCCGGGGAGAGGCGACCCTCAGCGCCCCATGACTAGAGACCCATCACAAGGACCCCCGGGAAGTGTGCACATTCACACCCCCTCTCTAACTGCTGGTTTACAGGCTGCATCCCTAGGAGCCCCCAGGAGACACAGCCGCCATCAGCTCACCGAAACCCCACCCCCTCAATTTGCCTTCTCTTTCAATGGGCAGTATCAGAGGTGTGCAAGGTCTGTTCTAGATGAGAATCACATCATACAGGGGGAAGGCGGGGGCACAGTGGTTCTGGCCAAGTGCCCTAAGAACCAGGAATACATCTAGAACACACCCCAACATTCTGTCATATCCTGCAGTTTCATAGGAAATGTACAGCAAGTAGTATAGATTGGCATTGCCTTTATATTGCAGGGGAGGGGGGACAGAGAGAATTCTAACATGCCCAACCCCCCTAGCAAGTTTATGGCTGAACTGAAATTCGAACCAGCTATGGAGATGGAAAACTGCAAGTTGGGGGGGGGTCCCCCCAGGTTTCATCTATTCCCTGTAAAAAATGGAACATTTGAAGAAAATGCAACTATAAGCATTATTTATATTCTTACCAGGTCTTTTTAAAGCATCTAACATGCATTATGTAACTTAACACAAAATGCTACTTTTTGACATTTTTATAACAATTAAATGTGCTACTTTTATTAGAACAATAGCTACAAAAATAGTAACGCAAACAGTTGAGCAGTCCAGCATATCAAACCATATTATACTGGTCAGTCCTGGGCAGGTCAACTCAGCAATTAATCCTATCTAGTTCAATGGGACTTATTGCTAATAAATAAGCCATATGATGGCAGCCTTTGTCTGTACTAGACAGAAAAATGGGGTGTGGGTGAAAGAAAAAGGAGTTTAAGTCCATGATAAATGAAAAAAAGTTCTCTTGTCCACACAGTCAGCATTATCCAGGCATATTACAAATGCCTGCAATATCTTTTTACCAAGGGCAACACTGGAGTTACTGTATAACGCACATGCAATTATTCTTTTTTAAAACAGCTTCCAACTGGGAGGGGGACTAATGGCTGATTTACATCTTTAAGGAGTATCAATAAATTTGAATCTTGAATTAAACTTTGAAATAATGTTGATCGGTTCAGGATCATATCACATACAGTCAGTCATATGAAGTGCAGATAAAACTGGTCACATAAAACTAGGAGATTTTGGGGATAGACCCTGGGGAGGGGAGGGATCTCAGCAGGGTATAATGCCATGCAGTCCATCCTCCAAAGCAGCCATTTTCGCTCGGGGACTATCTTGGTTATCTGAAGATCAACTGTAACAGTGGGAGATCTCCAGGTGCCACCTGGAGGTTGGCAAACCGACACAAAACCCATAGTGTCTCACGTAAATAACAAATATTTCAACAGAACACCATGAGGTTTCTGCCTTATACTCAGAAAGGGGTTTTCTTAATTCACCACAAACGTTCCAATTTTTCATTTAGAAAAAATATAGTACTCAGGGGAAGTGAACAAAGTGACCAGTTTTCTCCATGTCCACTGCCTTTTCTTCTACATAAACCTCTGTTAGTAGAGGCTGCTTCCATCAGCAGAATAGAATTCCAAATGCCCCAGTCCCACTGAACACTACAAATAAGGAAGGGTACAAAACTTACGTTCTAGTGCCATGTTTGGATCCATTCCTTCAACATCAATTAGGTATCTTAACACAACAGCAGGAGAGCATCAATAAATGTGAAGAACAGAACAGAAAAACTGGGCATATAACAGAACGTTGCAAGTCAGGGTCCCCAACCTTTCTGATACTGCAGCCACCTCTAGAATTTTGAGAGAAGGCGGTGAGCGCCACCCCAAAACAGCTGCCACAGGAGGCAGAGCCAAATGCAGTACCTCCCTCCATGCTTTGTAAAAGAATTGTACGGCAACTGAACACATACAGCTGACTTATTCAGAGTCCTGCCATTGGTCTATCTAGTATTATCTATACTTTGGTTGAAATAATGGTTCAGTTAAAGGAAGGACAGCAAGCCTAAAGGAGGACTGGGAGAGAACATAAGAACATAAGAGACGCCAATGTTGGATCAGGCCAAAGGCCCATCCAGTCCAACACTCTGTGTCACACAGTGGCCAGAAATACCAGTGCCATCAGGAGGTCCAGCAGTGGGGCCAGGACATTAGAAGCCCTCCCACTGTTGACCCCCCCCCCAAGCACCAAGAAGACAGAGCATCACTTGCCCCAGAGCCCCTAGCTATACCTTGTGGCTAATAGCCACTGATGGACCTCTGCTCCATATGCTTATCTAATTCCCTTTTGAAGCCGTCCATGCTTGTAGCACCCACCACTTCCTGTGGCAGTGAATTCCATGTGTTAATCACTCTTTGGGTGAAGAAGTACTTCCTTTTATCCGTTCTAACCCGACCGCTCTGCAGTTTCATGGAGTGCCCACGAGTTCTTGTATTGTGAGAAAGGGAGAAAAGTACCTCTTTCTTTACCTGCTCTTTCCCATGCATAATCTTATAAACCTCGATCATGTCACCCCTCAGTCGTCTTTTCTCCAAGCTAAAGAGCCCTAAGCGCTTTAACCTTTCCTCATAGGGAAGGTGTTCCAACCCTTTTATCATTCGAGTTGCCCTTTTCTGCACTTTTTCCAAAGCTATAATATCCTTTTTAAGGTGTGGTGCCCAGAACTGCACACAGTATTCCAAATGAGGTCTCACCATTGATTTATATAGGGGCATTATTATATTGGCTGATCTGTTTTCAATACCCTTCCTAATAATCCCCAGCATAGCATTGGCCTTCTTTATTGCAGTCACACACTGTCTCGACATTTTCAGTGAGTTATCCACTACAACTCCAAGATCTCTCTCTTGCTCAGTCTCTGCCAGTTCAGACCCCATCAATGTGTATTTATATTTAGGATTTTTGGCTCCAATGTGCATCACCTTGCACTTGGCCACATTGAACCCCAACAGCTTCTACTCCCGAACTCTCATCTACCTCCATGATACAGCCCAGCTCCCTGAACTCTTAAGACTAAAACTAAGCTCCCTCTTTGCTCATGGCAACAGTCAGTCAAGACTGCAGGGGAAAGGAACCAGGCACTAGCTAAGGAAAGCCTGGGTGCTTAGCAATTCTCCTGATTCTCTAGTGGCTGGGAAATAGTCGCATATGAATGAGGGCAGTCAATAACTAGCCCTGTCTTACAATGACCCCACCCACTGTCTGAAAAGCTTGGTGGGGCACCAGAGGAAATACAGGCAGGTGCTTCATTGGGGAACCCTGTTGTAAACAGTTGGAGAAAGGCAGGCTAAACAGCACATATATAAATGTCTTAACAGCTTGACCCTATCCATGTTTAGATGGTTAGTTCAGTAAACATTCCCAAGATCACCACCAAAGTAGGCTAGCTTCATCATGGACACTAGAAACCATTTAAAAAATGGAGGAAAACAATGTTGCTTAAAACCATTCTATAGCTTCAAAAAAAGTACACAATACTCTGGCTTCAAGGAAATTGAGAAACTATCTGGAATAGTCCTCTGAATGGCCCACAAGCTTTTGAGAGGTGGATTTTATCAAGGGCCCAGTCTTTAGAGCAAAGACAGAGCCCTGCCTTACACAATGGAGGATACGTTCTTTGCTCCTGAGCAATTATAAGGGCACTACCAGTTAAAACCATGCTGTGGAATCAATATTTCCCAACCTGCACTAAAGAAGTCTGGTTCCAGATTTGACCCAACATGTGTCTGTGCCCCTGCTTCCCTTAAGGGGAAAATGATATTGCATGGCGATGCAACCAACCTTAGATCATGCTAAAACCTAGTTTTATTAGTTTTGGGTAACAAACAAAGCAGTGCTTACAAACAACATGATATAAACTGAAGTACCAAACAGAGGCTTTTGTCCAGGAGAATTTGGACCCTAAACCTTCTTTCCACTTGTGCTCCTCTTTGTCTGCCTCACAGGTGGTCCTCGGTAGCACAGTACATTCGTGCATAAAGCTTCTTGGAAGACAATGATCTTGCATGAGCAAAAATGTGTAGCACCAGAGGAACACATGTTCTACAACAGAGGATCGCCTTCACAACAGATGAAGAGAAGTACAAGAAGGCAGAAGGTCTAGGATCCAGACCACTGGCTTTACATTCAGCAAGGAATTGTGTGACAGGTATTCAACTGCTTGAATATCTCAGATCATTAACATTTATTTCTCAGTCAACTCACCTGCAAATAAGGTAACCAGTTCGATTCACGCCATGTGTGCAGTGAACACCAATCAGATTGTCTAGAAGACAGAGAATTCACGTTTGTTTTTTGTATATGGCTCAGCTGCACAGAATGTTATTCATTTGCCATTTTTCATTATGCAAGTCAGACAATGCAGACATTCCTACACAGCACTGTTTATGGCTAAGAATTAGCTCATTTATAAACCACTAAAAAGCTGACATAATCACACAGGAGACTAAACACCCCGTACTTCAGTTCCATCCTCAGTTAAAACCATACTAAGTAAAGACTTGTTGAAAAAGTAACAGTCACCTACTGTTCACCATTATTCCAGGGAATAGTTCGGCTTTCATTGTAAAAATGGTTGGCATGCACCAAGAAGAGAACAGGTACCCCTCCCCCCCAATTCCTTCCCTCTTCTCCCCCCATGTCAAGCTTTAGACTGTAAGCTCCTTGGGAAAGCAACCCATCAGCTTTGCTTATGCCCTATAGGAGAACTCTGCAGTGCAGACAGCCAACAGTAGCCCACTGTACAAAAGTTAGGAAAAACCAGTAAACTAAAATCACACATGCTATGCATTACTGAGACTGTAGTAAAGCCAGCTCTGTTGGCAGAGAAAAAGGTCAACACCACATCGTGTTAGATAATTCTCACCATTATGTTGGTTCTCCATCAAGAACTGCCTCACAGCAGTGATGAATTGGAAAACTGTCTCTTCATTTGGAACGTCATGTCCAACTGTAAAAATCTTATAGTGCTGCACGCTACCTGGTAGCTCCTGTAAGAATGGACAAAGCTTTCTTGATGTAACAAACATGAAAACAAGCTGTCACCGCCTACCCTTTTAAGGAATATTTATTCTCAGATACAAATGAAATTAAAAAGTTAATGTTTACCCCAGAGATCCTCTTTACTGAGAAGCCTTACCTATTTCCTAGGCAGCTGTGAAACAAATGGACTCAGAATGGGAGTTCAGCTACCTCACTGGAGTTTCCATCCAAGCTGAACTCCAGGTTTAGGCCCAATAAGCACCACTGACATCTAACCAGAGTATCTACATGGGAATTTCCCCTTGACCTATGCCCCAACCATTCCTGAAGTCACCCACATGTTTCTGCAGAACAGTGACTGGGTTATATCTAACTCCTACAGCTGTCCTGAATCTTACAACACACTTGCAGCGACCTCCAATATTATTACATCATACATTTTGTGCCTCCTATAAAGAGGCTTAATGATGCAACCCCTCACACCTTCTTTTCAGGCAAACTCAAACTACAATGCAGTAGTAATTTGCTGTGTTGCAGGTGTGGGAAATCAAACAGCTCACTCATTTTGGCCAAAATACTATCCTTGTTAGGTTTATGTACAATATTCCCCAAACACACACACCCTTCTGAAAACATTCTACATTGCTTCCCTGAATGCAATAGCTGTAAGAAACCCATCTGTAAACAGCTATACACAGTGCATCACAAGCTGAACATGAGTTAGCATAGAGATGGAGCTGCAAACAAGACTTATGCCATTTTGTACTATGTTTACTTCTCTTTTCAGTTGCCTTGAAGTCAACTCACACTGTAGCTGGTGCAGAACACTGTGGCTCATTTACTACAAGGAACGATGAGGAGTATGCACATTACATCCATTCTGCATTCACACCACTGGTTATCAGTTAGTTTCCAGCTTCAATTCAAGGTGCTGGTTATTACCTACATGGCCTAGGACCCACATCTACAGGACCACCTATCTTGACATGCAAAGCCTTCTGAAGCTACCATCTTGCTAAGGAGCAAGACTGTCCATACCAGAGCATTTTCTGTTGTGGCTTCCATCTGGATGAATGGCCTGCCTGATCAGGCCAAGAAGGCACCTACACTTGTGCCATTTTGCAAAATGTGTAAAATTGGAACTGTTCAGACAGACATCTTTATACAGGGAATAGTGATGAGGGAAAACAGATTTTTTTTGAAGGTCATTTTCTATAAAGGTAATCTGGATAGCCCAGGCTAGCCTTGATCTTGGAAGCTAAGCAGGGTTGGCCCTGGCTAGTATTTGGATGAGAGACCACCAAGGAATATCAGAGTCATGATACGGAGGCAGGCAATGGCAAACCACCTTTGAATGTCTCTTGCCTTGAAAACCCCATGGGGTTAACACAAGTCAGCTGCGACTTGACAGCAAAAGAAAAAAAAGGCTTCTAATTTTAATTGCTTATAAAATGTTTAGGCCGTTTTTTCTCGTGCTACATTGTTTACTGGTCATATTGTACTGTCTTAATTTCACTGTTGTCCAATTTATAGGATAGATTATACTGTTTTCATTTTCTTACACAGTTCATTGTATTCTACCTGTCTTTATTGCATTTTTTAATAACTACAATCTGCCTTGAGCCTTGACAAGAAAGATGGACAATAAAGGAACTAAAACAAACAGACCCTTGGCACTAAAGTCATAAGGACTTAGTTCCCCTCTATTCTGTGCTCATATGGATAACGGTCTGGTTCTGGGTAACACGCTTAAAGAAAGATGTACACAAATTGCAAATGGTTCAGAACAGACCAAAGAAGATGGCCAGAAGTCTGGGAAAAGTCCTATGAGAAGAGACTGAATTAAGTAGTTATGTATAATGTAGAAAAGGGGGTGGCAGCAGAGAGAGAACTACATGACCTGAAGGGTTGTCACAGAGAAAGTGGCAAGGATTTGCTCTCTGTTGCTCTGGAGGGCAAGGCTGGATCAAATGGGCTTAAGGTACAAGAGGACAGATTTCAACTGCACATTAGCAGAGACTTGTTAACTATCAAGGCAGTTTTACAACCAAACCAACTACTAAGGGGGGAATTGGCTCTCCCTCACTGAAGGTTTTCAAGTGGAAACTAGACAGGCATCCATTAGGAACATTTTTGCTTTAGATTTCTAGTATTGAGGAGGAAGGTGGACCATGTGGTCTGTAAGGCCTTTTCCAACTCTGCAATTTCACTCTGACAAAATATACTTATTCAAAGCTTTCTCTGTACCCCTGAATAAAAAAGATCCGCCTCCCAAACGAGAAGCATGACCATAATTTTAACAAGCATTTCCTTATGAAGAACCATAATGATCTTTTAAGGCATGTTTTATAAACTTACCTCTGGCTCATAATAGCGAGTTGTGTATGTTAAATCAATGATCAATCCAAGTTCTTCCTCCTGCTCTCTTACTTGATTAACAAGGTCAAATGGAGAAAACCGCTCATTTGGGGCAAGTCTCCATTCAAAACTCTGGGGAAAAAGTAGGATTAAAGGCAACCTAGAAAAGGTAGCTGAATAAAGTCTAGACTTTATTTATTTAGCATACACACACAGCTTTTGTTGTTCTTCTTTTGCATTGCTCCTCTGACACTAAGCATTCCAGCTCTCCCATTTTACCTCAGACACTTCTAGCATCTCTCCCTTATCTATAATTGAGTAAGACACAGCAGAGAAAATGCACTCCATCAGCCATTGGCCAGCCAGCTGCCGCTGAAGGCTGCTCCCCTGCCATTGGCTGGGAGGTGGGAGGCGAACGCTGCGTCTGAATGGCGCGGCGCCGGCAGCAATGCGCCCCACACCGCAGCCTGCTGCTTCCTTCTCCCCCCCCACTGTCCCCGTGGCTTCTCTGGGCCTCGCGAGGCCCAGAATCGCCGCTTCCTTCTCCCCCCCACTGTCCCCGCGGCTTCTCTGGGCCTCGCCAGGCCCAGAGTCGCCGCTTCCTTCCCCCCCCCAACTGTCCCCGCCCCACTTCGCCAACCCACCTGGAAAGCCGGACAAACGGGGGAAGCTTTCTTTGCCCCCCCCCCACTTTCTCTCTCTCTCTCTTTCTTCTTCCTCTCTCTCTCCCTCCCCCCTTCCTTCCTTCTTCCACCCACCCACCCTACCTGTCTAGGGGCCCGTTGTCTCCGTCCACAACGGGCTTTGCTCCCTAGTTTATATATAAACATCTATAACTTCCTAGACACGTTAAGCCTGTAGCCTCTAGACCTTACCGAGAAGCAAACATTGGCAACCCATAGAAGCTTTCTTCCTCCTTTCAGGGAAAGTTAGGATAAAATGTGGAAGGAAGAATCACATATACCACCCTGAACTTCTTGGACAAAGTGTGAGATAAAAATATACTAGACAGATACGTACATTTAGAATCAGATGAATGTAGTTGTTTCATACAGATAAAATCTAGGGCAGCAAATCATGCACAATGCAAACAGATCAAGGCTAAACCAGATACATTATTCAGAAAACCCCTGCATCAAACTGCTAATTTGACCAAGCAATGGGACAGGAAGTCTCCTCATTCAGATATGGATCAGGTATCACGATCAGTTTGACTACAGGCATGAGGCAAAACTGATCTGAAAAGTACTTTTGTTGTTCTTGACACAAATCCCTGTCCAATTTAACATTTTGTGCCAGAGGCATAATTCTGGCACAATGTCTGTACCTCTTATCAAGCCCCAGAAATGCTGTTTTATCTTGCATCTATTCTCTTATACACACTATTAAGCCAACCAGTTCACATTCTCATACCTCATCCAATGCTAGCTTAGTATGGGCAAACACAGAATTCTCTTTAAAAAGCTGACCAAATCTTTACACTGCCAACTGTCTTATTTGCTTTATGGATATCAACACTACTAAATCAAAAGCAAAAAGTAATTTAACAGTTAACATCTCCAAACACTTTACCTACCTTTTGAAGAGGAACTTTAAAAGCAATAAACCGGGTTCCAGGCATTCTTTTTCCAAGAGGTAGGTACTCAGTCCATCTAGAAGAGAGACCTCACAGTTATTCTACACTGTTTTGAACTGCAGTGTGTGTGCATATCTAGGTCTATAAGGCTGCAAAAAATGTAACCAAACTTCCTCAGACACTGAAATCAATAGGACTTGTCTTCCCATGTTAAAGATATATCCCTTGCCAACCATTGTTGAAAACCATGCATAAATAATTTAGATATATTAAACAGAAAGGGACATCCAACCATGATAGGTTAAGCCAATTGTATTGAGGTGGAAATCCAAACCAGGTGCACATATTTAAGTTCTCACCCTCCTACTCACGGAGTACAGAATGCCTGTAAGGTACTGTCGTGAAACGGGCCTGCTCCAACCTCCAGGCCTTGTTTCACCCTGTCCTCCAAGGTTAACACCTGGAGAGGCTGTTCTTTCTCTCTGAGGTAACCACTACCACCACCTGAAGAATTGCCTGCTGGGAGGGTCAGGATTCCCAGCTTCCCCTCCAAGTTCTGAGGTCTTGCCTCCATGTCTCCCACTGCCTGGTCGCTATGGGACCGTTTACTGCCTTGTGCACCCCTGGAGAAATAGCCACTTGCCAACTGACTGCCTTCCCACTAGTGCTCCTTTTAAAATAGCATGTCCAAGATGGTGGAGATCTATATGGTACAGAAAACCACTACCCACATCAAAAGTTATAAAGTATTTATTAAAAAGAAAATGTTTACAAGCATACTTTTAGCACAGCACCAGATTTGAGCAAGGGATTAAAAAGAAATGGGTAAAACACAATTCTTCCATCCCTCTCTCTATACCTGCCCTAACAGATTGTTAAAATATAGGACAGACGCCTCAGTTTAGGAAGTTATAGATCTCTACAGTGTAACCAGTACCTTGAAGGGTCCTCCAGCTCTCCAGGCAAGCACATGGTTAATGGCACCACCTCCAGACCTCAGTTAAGAGTTTTGTCTGCTCTGATGGTCTCAGCACAAAAGAAACCTTCCTTTGGTGTAGTTGTTAGGAATGTGAACTCTAATCTGGGATAACTGGGTTTGATTCCTCACTCCTCCACATACTGCATATACTGCTCTACATACTGCTGATGTGACCTTGGGTCAGTTACAATTGTTTCAGAGCTGTCCTCTCACAAGCAGTTCTCAAAAGAGCTCTCTTGGCCCCACCTATCTCATAGGGCATCTGTTGTGGGGAGGGGGAGGGGGAAGGGAAAGGAGATTGTAAACCGCTCTGAGACTCTGAGTGAAGGGTGGGGTATAAATCCAATTTCTTCTCCACTTCTTCTTGCTTCCAGAGGTTAGTCACCTCTCTTTTCCCCACCCATGACCAAGTCAGATAAGCTTTTCCTGGAGATTCTTCAGGAATTCTTTCCTGTAGTTTCTCTAGTATTTAACACCTGGAGGTCTCTGTTCCCTGCTGCGGGGGCCTGACCATCCCATTGTCTTGACACACTGGCATATGTATGAAGGTTCTCTGCTCAGAGGGGGGGGGGAGAGACTTTTAAAACTCAAAGTTAAGGTTTTGCTCATTTCAAACCTCCAAAGAAAATACATATTTCTTCACAGGTGCACTAACTCATTCATGAATGAGTTCTGACTCACAAAAGCTTATACTAGAAGTTTTTTTTTAATTGTTTCAGATGCCACTGGACTCCTGCTTCATTAAGTAACACCAGGACGCCCCAAAAGAGTAGGAAGCAGCGCCTTCTTTTTTGCTTTGCAACATGAGCCTCAGTGTTCTTAGAGATCCCAAAGGTGTGTGTGTGTGTGTGCGGGGGTGCGCCTCCAAATCTTTCCTTCTGGGACTTTTTAAGGCCAGGAGCTTCAGGGGGGCGATCTGTCCTTCCCCCTTTAACTAACACCCCATTGTTCTCAACCCTCTCTGTCGCTTCTGGAATCTACCCAGGCCTCACTAGGCCCTTTTCTAGATCGGGGGCTGGCCTGCGCGACACAAAATGGCTGCGATCGACACGCAACCGGATTCAGTACCAGGCAGATCGGGGGTAGACTCTGAAAGAAAGGCGGATACCACCGGTCCCACCTAAAGGTTGCTGACGGGGGCCGCTCCCTCACCTTTCCGGAATGCTGGTCTTCGACTTCTTGCCCATGGCTCCGCCGCTTACTGCCCAGGTTGGCCCACCAGCCGCTTCCGGTTCTTCCGCGGAATACGTGAGCCGCCACGCCACCGCCCCTCGGCCTTCCTACAACGTCCTCACGTCCGTCAAGACGGACCTGCGCCGGCGTTACTTTTAAAGCTCTCGGCAGCGACCCCTACAGCTCAGCGGGCGAAGCACAGGCCTGTCCGTTTCTGACCCACCCTTGTTGTTCGTACGGATGCCTTCAGTACAGGCTACAGCCTTCGAGCGCGATCCCGCTGGCAAGACCCGCTCCCTCTTTCCCCGACGACCTCGGTCCCTGTTAGTTTCCTGTCAGAGGCCCTGCATGATGGAGGACGAACCTCTAGTCCTCTCCAGCCACCTCCGCCGGCCGTTTTCACCTGTCCTTTTAGACGTAGACTCCGCTCCAGGATTCCCGCAGCCACAACTTGCAGGCGGCTACAGTCGGGAAGCTGAGCATGCGCGCGACGCTGGGCCGTCTGAGGCCTGCCCCGCCTGGCGGGTGGCGTCGACAGGCTGCGGGATCGAGTGAAAGGCCTGGCGGCTGAGAGGGCTGTTGGGGCGTGGCGCTCTGCACATGCTCAGCGGAACCTCCGCTTCGCGGGGGTTAGAGGAATAGCGCGGTCGCTCCATACAACTCTTGTCCCCCTGCCTCGCGCTCCTCTTCTCCCAGTCCGGGGCCCAGGAGGTGGTAGCGGGCCCTGGTCTAGGAGGGGGCCGGCTTTGGCGCTCCCGGCCCTCTCCTCATCGCCATGGATCGCCCCTGCAACAACTCCCCGGCTGCGTGGCAGGGCAGAGGCGGGCCGCGACCCCCTCGCCGGGAGGGCTGAGGAGAGCCCCTAGTCTCCGTTAGCGAAGCCTCGAGGCCGCTTTGTCATCGGCGTGGGGGGGGGGGGCCTTCGTCCTCCCCGCCTTTCCTGCTGCTGCAGCAGCATCCTCGCCCTTCTCTCCTTCGGCCACGGAGAGGCTTGACTGCGCCGTGGGTTGTTTGAATTGAGCCCGTCCTTTTGCCTTGCCCCAAACTCTCGCCGATCCATTTCGTTCCCGTGTAGGTAGGTAGGTAGGCAGGGTGAGCGGAGGAGATTTTGGGATGGCGCGGTTGGCCCGGGCGGGTGTTTCTTTGGGGCTGAATTCGGCTGTTGGGTTATCTCTGGAAAGGCGATAAAGGCGAGGGACTGTTTCCTGAGGCTGTAGGGCCTCCTGATGTGGCTGTAGTGACTGGCTGAGATGTGGGTAGGGGAGGCTGGAGGTGCTACTGGCAAGTATTTTCTGGACCCTGTTTGCGGTTGAACTTGGCCGGGGTGGTTGCATGTGTAGAGGGAGTGAGCCGGAGAATGTGGTTAAGAGACAGAGCTTACTTTTCCGTGTCACTTACCTGTGCTTTTTCCATCCAGAGCAGCAGTGATGAGGAGGTGTAAGAATCATCTGTGCTGGCGTTAGCAACAGAAGTGCTTGGCTGAGACATGTCTTATCGAAACAACGAACGGGACTTCCAGACCTCAGCTCGGAGAATGGGGACCTCTCTGCTTTTTCAGCTGTCGGTCCATGAACGAGAACTGGACTTGGTCTTCCTGGATCACAGTTATGCTAAGCCCTGGAGTGCGCATCCTGATGCTAGCAATGCCCGTCCAACTCGCTTGCTCTTTGTCACTCCCAGGAGGCATCAAGATAGTAGTGCCATGTGAGTTTGACTGCATGAAAGTCGTGCTGAAGGCTTTATGGATATGGTTGTAATTCCCTCTTCTTAGCTTGTGTGTATGTTTTAAAATGGAATTATAGAACCAGAGCATATTGTAGAGCAGTAGTACCCACTCTAGGGCTCACAGAGAGTCTCATTTTCATTTCACCTACCAGAAGAGCTACATTTCCTTCCACCTCTGGCATGAGGCCTGCATCTCATGGAAGCTTGCAGTTTACCTGTTTCTCTGTGGTCATTGATTCATGTTGGAAATTACATGCTAACCATGAGTACACTGGGTAAGGTCCTTGCCAACTTTTCTGAAATTTGGGGCAGATGCCACATTGGGGTACAGTGCTCAGAAGAGCCCCAAGTGGCATGTCAATGAGCCGCATATGGCTGTAGAGCCACTGAGTGAGTATCACTGTTCTAGAGGCCCTTGTGTGGTAAATTTGACCCATAGACATGTGAATACATACAACTTGTGTGGAGTGTTTTTATCTCCCTTTTGACAGACCTGCTGATTTAATTAGAATTATGAAGGGGGGGAGCAAATTCCTTGAATGGTCTGTGTCTCTTTTCAGTGAGGCAGATGTTCCCATTGATGTAGAAACGGTGACACCTACACCTGTGCCACTCTATGACAACCAGAAAGCCCGCACTGTGATGAATGAGTGTGAGCGTCATGTGATTTTTGCCCGCACAGATACAGATACTCCTCCTCCACCTGATGACTGGGAGGAACATATGAACAGGTACTAGATGGGGTCGTGGGTTGCTGCAGATCATAGTATATGTTGTGGAGCTATTTATTTGCATGTAAGTTTTTTTCCTTGATTTTTGAGCCCAGATATAACTTGGGGCCAGGCAGTATTAAGGTTTTGTCATTTGACGTTGGATTCCAAAACACCCAGGCAGTACATTCTGATACTTTTCTAGTAATATTTTGTTAGCTTTATAATTGATAGAGTTACAGGAAGTATCTGCAAAATAAGCTATGTAGAATATTGGTGCTTACTTGCAGTGGAATTGTTGCCTTGTTCATTGTGGTCAGGAGGTCTAAAAATTAGCATGACTGTATTTGCAACACAAAGCATGGGATATGGTATTTAATAAGAAATCCAGTAGTGTTTTGATTAATTTTTAAGAACAAATTTCTGTCTGTCAAATCTTGAAAACATGCTGTGAGTTTCCAAGTTCTAATCTGTATTTACAGTTAGAAAAGTATTGTAAGTTTTGTAAAACATTCAAATGTATAAATGCATAGTTTGCGTAAATGTTACCAGTCATAAGTTTAGGATTTCAGAATTCCACAGCCCCTTGATATGTTTGTAAAACACTGGAACAGTAATATTAAAAAACCAAAAATTGTGCATTAGTTTTTATTAGGCCCAGTTATAATATCACAAAACAGTGAACACAACCAAAGATGCAATTTTTCTGCACAAAAGTAACATCCATGCAGGACATCACCTTGTGTGAAGTGTATTTTATCTGCTGACAGTACTCAGTCAATAGTGAATCAATGGAGCCAAATAAGCCACTTTTTCATAATAGAGTGCTCATCATAACTACACAGTGGTGCGCATTGGAAAATCATCACTTGAGAAACAGTTCTTATGCAAGAGGTTTTGTGACTTCTGTATGTATGGGGGGTTTCCCCATGGTTTATTTACCAGATTACGTTTAAAACCATGTGTTACAGGTCTGTCATCCAGATACTGCTTGTATTCTGAAAAAAGGGGTTTGGAACTTGTAAAGTGTGGGTTCCATCAGTTGTTGATTTGGAAGCTGAACTACTAACTGGCTTTGTGTTTTCCAGGTCAGGTTGGACTGTGGCCCAGAACAAGCTGTTCAATAAAATCCTGAAAGCCTTGCAGTCTGACAGGCTGGCTCGGTTAGCCAATGAGGGGGTAAGGGCATCCTCTTTTCCCTCTCTTTCTGCGTGTGTTAGCCGTTTTGTCTAGTTTGAGCATCCAGTTGCTCTGACCTATTAAACAAAGGTCCTCCTGCACATTCCCCTTGTAGTTCTGTGGTCTTGAGAAGGTTCTGCTTCTGCCCATAAATCTGAGGACAGTATGTCCAAACTTCCTCTATAACTGTATTCTGACTGGCATGCTTTATTTTGCTGACATCACTGTGTGTCTTTGTTATTTGTTTTTCCTAAGGCGTCCAATGAGCCAGTGCTAAGGAGGATAGCAGTGGACAAATGTGCTCGACGGGTCCGCCAGGCTCTGGCAAGCATCAGTTGGGATACCAAGCTGATCCAGTGGCTTCACTCAACTCTGGTGGAGACCCTCAGTTTGCCTATGCTGGCTGCTTACCTGGATGCTTTACAGACTCTTAAGGGAAAGGTGATTAACATGAGTTTAAAGACTCTCGATTTTCTTGATCCTCCTTTCTACATTTCTTCTGCAGGGAAATGCGCATTAATCTTGTTGTGAGCTTAGGAAAGTACATTTTATGCACAGTTGTGATTTAAATTATGACTCAACCATAGTCATGGGTGCAGTACCCAGGACTGGGCCCTTCCTTAACTTTGCAGTAGTATGAGAAATTGTCCTAACCCATTAAGTGCATGTTCAACAATAGCAGCTTGGTTCTAGTCCAGTCCCCAAATGGTCCTCTGTGACATGGTTTGCACATGCCGAAGAGTCAGAGTCCTGATATGATAGTTCCTTTGCATTAAAAAACTCTATATACATGGGAAGCAAGCACCACACGGGGAAAAGTTCTAACCGCACTCTGCTGGCTATGCTAATTTTCTGTCTGCAGGGATTTTAAAATCTAGGGATGGATCCAAATTGTGGTCCTCCACATTCACTGTGACGCTGTGCTGTTCATCTTGCTGCCGCATTCTGCTGCGTGTGTAAATCAAGCCTATTTTTTAATTTGACAGAGCAATAAAATACAGTTTGTTGATGCAGGCTGCAGAGAGGTACTAAAGAATAAAATAAATTTTAAATGCAATACCATGCCGATCAAATGCATGTGTTAATGAAGTCCATAACATCTTTTTGTTGGTTTCAGATTCCCACCCTGATTGATCGGATGCTGTTGTCATCTTCTGCAAAAACAGGCGCTGAAGCTCTGTCCCTCTTGCTGAAGAGACCATGGGACCCAGCTGTGGGAGTCCTTTCACATAACAAACCAGTAAGTCCGTTGTGTGTGCCTTCAGCAAATAAGCTGCCCTGGGGGGGTTATTTTGATGTCTGTTTTTCTGGAACCTCATTGTCATGAATATATCCTACTCCTGCAAATTCTCTAGCTGTCCCTGGGTGTACTCTTAAACAAACAGATTTTTTAATCCCTGGAGAACTGAGTATTTTTGTTTTTTCTTTCCTTAGATGAATGGCCCTGAATCAGCCTTTTATAAACTGGCTAAGGCTGA